TCTTACGAGTATGCATAGAATGGATTAGCTCATGAGATATCAAGACATTATCTGTGATTAGTCTGCCTGGGATGAATGCAGTCTGATTTTCTGAGATAATACTATGCAAAAACGGTTTCAACCTCTCAGCTAAAACTTGAGATAAAATCTTATATGCCACGTTACTAAGGCTAATAGGCCGGTAATCCTTTACCTCAGTAGGATTTTCTATTTTTGGAATTAAGCAAATATGAGTTCGGTTCAAAACTGGGTCTAATTCAGCAGTTTCCATGAAATGCTTTATAAAACATACCACACCGTCTTTAAGAGTTGCCCAGTGGTCTTTATAGAAACCTGCTGTGAGCCCATCTGGTCCTGGAGATTTGTCAGCGTTCATTTGTTGAAGAGCTTGGTAAACTTCAGACTCCGTTACTGGTTTGGTAAGTGAAGCATTCATCTCATCAGTAACTCTTGGTTGCAGAGTCCTAAGGATTGCAGTATGATCACCTGTCCTTCGAGATGAAAACAAAGAAGTATAATAGTCAATGATAAGCTTATGAATATCTCCCTGACTTACATAAACAGTTCCAGAGGCATCAGTAAGAGAGGTAATTCGGTTAAGTGATCTTCTTTGCTTTGCTCTCGCATGGAAATACTTAGTATTTTTATCCCCCGCTTGTAACCATAAGACTCTACTTTTTTGTCTCCAATATTCTTCTTCCATTCCATAAGCCTGCTCCAGTTGTTGTTTTATATTGCCAATGACAGTGAAATCTAAGAAGTTAGCTTCATAGGCCTGTGCAAGTAAAGCTTTAAGCTCATGAATGAGTTTTTGCGTATTAGTTAGATTTTCTGATTTCCACTGAGAAATCTTCTTTCTACATATCTCTAAAGCTTTACCAAAGTTCTTACTCTGAATGTCATGGCATCGTTCACTCCAAATCTTTTTTACTTCCTCTTTCAAATATGGATTTAACCTCCAACGATTATCATATCTAAATAACTTATGCCCCTTCCATTTTGATGTTTCGGTAAATAGAATTAGTGCCCTGTGATCAGAACAATGCCAAGGAAGGGTTTGAACATAAGCTGTTGGGTAAATATCCAACCAATCGCTAGTAGCAACAACCCTGTCTATACGTGTTCGTACAGTATCATGATGCCTATTTCCAACCCAAGTAAACTTTCCACCAAATGTTTTAACATCATGCAAGCCACAAACTGAAAGCATTCTTCGAAAGTTATAGAAAGATGATTCTGACCTGGGAGCACCTCCTTCTTTTTCGTGGGAATATTTTATATCATTAAAGTCTCCTAGTGCTAGCCGTGGCTTGCTGCTGTAAAAACCTGCTTGTACATCAGAAATCATGCGGTTCCATGGGATGTTTCTCTCTTTCAACATAGGGTGACCATAGATATAAGTCAAGCAAAATACATTAGCGCCATCACAAATATACACATCTGTATTATACAAGGAAGAGGTTCCTACGATTAGCTCTATATGGACATCCCAAAAAATGGCTAACCCACCGCTAAGCCCATTTGCTGGTAACACAAAAGAATGGGCATAATGTAGATCCTTACATAGATTTTGAACAACACTATAGCGGTTTTTTTTTTCAGAGAGGACCATAATATCAGGTGTAAAAGACTTCCTGATATCAGTAAGATATTGAATTGTCAGAGTGTTCCCCAGCCCTTGATAATTCATGTGAAATATCTTCATTTTTGCTGATTTGGTGGTTTGTGGTTGACCACCAAACCTTTATCCTTCTCTGTGATGGTGATTGCTTTCTTAGAGGTAGAAGGGTTTGTCATGGGATCAGCTTCAAGTGCCTTTCTCTTGATCCCTTGTTCAATGACTCCCATCTCTATATCAGCAGAATCAAGATTAACATTAGTACTTGATGAGGCTTATGTTGGATGCTGTGGTGGAGGAGCCGGGGGAAGAAGATGGGGAGATTTCAGATTCTTGGAATAGCACCAGCAGTCGTATAAGCATTTAGACCTGCAATGGCTTGAAGTCGGTCAGCAGCTGTTGTAGAAAAGCTGGTTCCAATCTGCATCAGCTGATCAATCTGAGGAGGGAGACTTGGAGCTTTTGGGTAGACTTCAAAACCATGCTTTAGACTTCCGCAAGTTGTGCAGAATTTTTGGAATTCTGCATAGCGAAATTCCAATTCGACCGGTGATGTGTGTGGCATGATCTCCACCTGACGGGCCAAGGTAATGGTAGAATCCACATCAAAATCAACTTTAACCCAGGCTTCAGGAAGATGGTTAACAGTTTGTTCGATGATAAGAACATCATCAACATGTCCCAATTTAGATCCGATGCTATTGACGATACCCCGACGACGATACATAGCTGGAAGCTTGTTGATTTTGATCCATATAGGGAGATGACGTAGGAAGTTTGGGTATCCCATATTACTCCAACGATCTAGAACCACCATCCAGCCTCTGTAAGTATAAGGACCACCTTCGAGTACTGTTAAGAGATGATGCTCCTTTTGAAAGTAGAAATTATCAGTATCATCATCATTCACTTGTCCTTCAACCTGACCGAGTAAGCTCCAAGCTTTGGGCATCAAAGCTTTTATCCCAGCGGGGTTTTGGTGAGCAGGATTTAGTCCTTTAGCGACCAAACAGAGACGGTGATCTCTTTGAAATTCCAACTGAGCATCTTGATGAACCTTCCATGCTGATTGATCTGCCCCAATTTTGAGTCCCTGTAAGACTTGCCACAGCTCCTTTTGAGACTCCATAGGTTCGATAGCTGCCATAACGGAAGAGAAAATAAAGATTTTGAGAAGATTTACTCCAAAAATTGGAAGATTTGATCGACAGAGTCGAAGTTAGGGTTTTCGCGATAAGATCGCCTCGAAATCGTCTTTCTCTAGAGTTTTCGCGAAAAAGTCTTTTGGGGCTCACACTATTCCTTTTTATAACCACGGGGATTCCGTGAATTTAAAAATGATGTGGAAAAGACCAACTATTGATTTTACTATTTGTTTTTTTTTGTTTTCTCAATTACTATTTGTTTTAAATACTAATAATAAACACCGACTTGGGTTTTCTCTCACGTAATTAAGGTTGCTATTTGGAGCATTTTAGGCGTATTATATGGCGATAGATTACAAAATAAACATTAGATGAAAAAGAAAATTAATAATTTAGTAAAGAAAAGAGTTCTAATTATCCAAAATCAAAGTTAATTAAAGATACTGTAACTTAAATAAGAGTAATCAAATTTGTTTGTTCAGTCAAGTGAGTTCGTCGCTTTGTTAATCTAGGCCACAGATTAATTTCCATTATACATATTCTTTCATTGCCTACTTATTGATAGAACGTGTCTTCAGTTTTTAAATTAATAAGAGATTGGCTGCAGGTCTGAGTAGTTCTTTTTTGTTATACTATGGGTCTCTAATTGACCAGCCAAAATACTCTGTAGACCTAATTAGTAGATTGATTAAGTCTTATATGGACATCTCGTGCAATTAGCCAATTATTGTATGTGTATCAGGATCATGTGGATAAAACCTTAGCTTCACATGTGTCGCAACTCTCAATTAACTATTGGATTAGATATTTTCTGGACTTAGTTGGGCTCAGCCCACAATGTTTAGAAAGACCCATTCTTTCATTTGTGAGAGGAAAACAAAAACGATTTAGTGTCGAGCTAATTAGCGTCCTATCAATTTGGCTCACATCTTATGGACTTGTCGTGCGTTTGGGTGAATTGGAATCATGTGGTATATGTGTGGACGCGTGAGGGAAAGAAAGGTCTCTTGTCTTAACTCTCAAGTGGTAAATTACAGGCTTATTTTTTCTTGAATTGAGCTGGACTCACAATGGAGCCCATACTAATCGCTAAAACCTAATGCAATTATGGTTTTAGGAAAATAAAAGAATTCTTTGCGTTGTTAGTAATTTTCAACAACTAAACCACCAGAGGCAGAGATTGAATTCAAGTTTATACGTTTTGCTATATAACATCATTTGAAAAAAAAAAAATTTATTGTATATATTTTTGTGTCAACAAGAATATATAATATGCACGTATCACCCGTAACGCATGCTTTCTCTAAAGCTCGAAAGAATTCAGTGATCCAAAAACACGTCAATTTAATGACAAGGGAGAGCAACTAGCGAACCTGCAATTATAGTATTTTACGTAGCACAATCACTTTCTCTGTCTCCAAGTACTCCCTTTCTAGATGTCCACGTAGGAGTGCAGAATTATCACGTCACTTGTAACGTATATGACTTTCTCTGTTGACGAAAAAACGTACATTCTTCTCTTCATTCCGTTTTTGTACCAGAACCTGAACCTTGTCTTCTTATTGAAGCTTTTTCTATCACAACATATTTATTTATTATTGGAGCTAAAAATGGACCATTTTTACGTCCAAGATATAACTGAACTTAGTAGAACTTATATAAAAGAAACTATAGTTGTAGAAGTGAACAAGCTTGAAATAGACTCCAGTTTTTGATTTTATCATTGCCATCTTCAAAATCTTAATTATCAATGTCTACTAAACTAATATGATTCCTAGACCAAGAAAAAACAAATAGGAGTCTCCACTAAATCTTAATTTTTGTTTTCTTCTTACGTATGAAATTTTAGGACAAACATTCAGTTGCAGCCCTACTTGCTTACTTGAAATTTAGGTTTTATTGAGTGTAGTTCAGATTAGTTTTTAATTACTCCAAATAATTTTTATTTTCATTTGAAATTCGAAATTTTAGAATTATCTTTTAAATTTGATAATTATCTTAACTATTTATTTGTTTTTTATTCCTTAACTATTTATTTGTTATTGTTGTCAACTACAGTACTTTTTTTTTCTTTACCAATGTCAATACTCAATAGTACTTTTTATCTTCTGGGGTTGGTCAAGTCAATTGTTTTCCTAATATAAAAATAGTTTTCATATTTTCCGTTATTTCGACTGCAAAAATTTGGTTTAAGAAAAAAAAAAAAACAAAAGAAGAAAACAAAACTAAAACCCCAACTTAAATTGTGGAAGTCATTGGTGCTAATGAACATGAAGAGGTGAGGGCTCTTCACAGCCATTCAATCCCATAAAACATTTGCAGAGAAACTCAGGTCGCCTTCTTCAATTTGTGCGCCCATCCATGGCTTCCAGGATTGCTGATTCTCTCTTCGCATTCACGGTACTCTTTTTAAATTCTTAGCCACAAAGGTTTCATTTTTCGCACGCTTCTCCATTGCCCATCTCTGCAACTTGAGTTTCCCATCATCAATTTGTTTCTTTGCTATTGTTTTCTCAGGGCCCACAACAATGTCTTCCTAGGTTTCCTAAGGTTGCTTCTGCTCGTGTTTCTCCTGGTACTCTTCTTTCTCCATAAAAACCCTCTTTTTTTTGGGAGGTTCAAGTTAACTTGTCTACACTTATGGAGTTTCAATTGAAGGAATCAATGACACGATCGATTCCTTTTGTTATAAATAGAAAAAGGAGTGAATTTGGGGTTTTATATGTTTTAAGCTCTGCAAATGTCTTGTCTTTGATAAAGCCTATAAGAACTCGCTTGTGTTCTTTGGCTTGCAATCAGGATAAATCTGTTTGTTCTTTTGGCATTAATGAGCCTAAGGGCTAATGTAGTGAATCTTTCTTTTGTAATTTCGTTGGTGGATGCATACAGGTGTGTATGCTGTGAGACCGATTGATCTTCTGTTAAAAGGAAATGCGCACCGGCGAAGAAGATTCGTAGCTCCTGCAAAGAAAAGGATTGGATGCATAAAAGCGGTTTCTGTTCCAGTCGCTCCGCTTTCAGCTGACAGTGCAGAAGACAGGGAGCAATTAGCAGAGAGCTATGGCTTCAACCAAATTGGAGAAGACCTTCCTGATAATGTCACCTTAAAAGATATCATGGATACACTTCCAAAAGAGGTTATAGCTTGTTCAATAAGCGTTTCATGTCATTTCCATGGATCTTCTTCTTACTCATTCTTTGGAATACGGTCCTTCTCCAGGTGTTTGAGATTGATGATGTGAAAGCTTGGAAGTCTGTGTTGATATCTGTGACTTCCTACACTTTGGGACTCTTCATGATTGCAAAAGCGCCGTGGTATCTGCTTCCGTTGGCTTGGGCATGGACAGGAACTGCAGTGACTGGGGTAAGCTCTCCTCTACTGTCTCTTCTCTGTGTCAACCTTGTTTCTGTTTTCTAACTGGATTTGTCTTTCTTTAGTTCTTTGTGATAGGTCATGACTGTGCTCACAAGTCATTTTCAAAGAACAAATTGGTGGAAGACATTGTGGGTACTCTAGCCTTCCTGCCACTTGTCTATCCGTATGAGCCATGGCGGTTTAAGCACGACCGTCATCACGCCAAGACCAACATGTAAGTGTTTCTCACGTTCCTAGACTTTTATAGATATTCACAATAGGATAAGAGATGAGAAGTCTTGATTCCGCTTTGTTCTCTATAGGTTAGTTCATGACACAGCTTGGCAACCAGTTCCTCCAGAGGAGTTTGATTCATCACCGGTGCTGCGAAAGGCAATCATTTTTGGATATGGCCCAATTAGGCCTTGGTTGTCCATAGCTCACTGGTATATATAGAGATTAAGCTTTTACTATTACGCATTGATCAGTTTGTTCCATTTCATTTTTTCTCTGTATATACCTGTTTACTTGACGATGATAAGCATTCTCTTCTGACAGGGTGAACTGGCACTTTAATCTGAGAAAGTTCCGAGCAAGTGAAGTGAATAGAGTGAAGATAAGTTTGGCTTGTGTTTTTGCCTTCATGGCCGTTGGGTGGCCGCTTATTGTATACAAAGTTGGTATATTGGGATGGGTCAAATTCTGGTTGATGCCATGGTTAGGCTATCACTTCTGGGTAAATAAATGCTTCTCTCTCTCTTATGCTTTTCTCTATTCACTCTTTTTTTGGATATAGCATCATAAGCCAAAATGGTTAAAGCGTTTATTGTTTCTCTCTATAGATGAGCACGTTCACGATGGTTCATCATACGGCTCCACACATTCCTTTCAAGCCTGCGGATGAGTGGAACGCGGCTCAGGCCCAGCTTAACGGGACTGTTCATTGTGATTATCCTAGTTGGTAAATGCATCTCCACCTGCTAAGATGGTTAAGTTGGTATTCTCTGAGTTTTGATATTTTCATATATGAATCGATGTTTCTGCGTTGTGACAGGATCGAGATTCTCTGCCATGATATTAACGTACACATACCACATCACATTAGCCCAAGAATACCAAGCTACAACCTCCGTGCGGCTCATGAGTCTATACAAGAGAACTGGGGAAAGGTAATAGCCGCTTTCTTATCCCACAAAAGCTGTAAGCTATACATACGAATGATATGACAGTTATCTTTCTTTTTTCTTTGCTCGGTGTTGTTTGCAGTATACAAACTTGGCTACATGGAACTGGCGGTTGATGAAGACGATAATGACTGTGTGCCATGTCTATGACAAAGAGGAGAACTACATTCCTTTTGACCGGTTAGCCCCTGAAGAATCTCAGCCAATAGCATTCCTCAAGAAAGCAATGCCTGACTACGCAGCCTAATTCGCTGTGGCCTCTGTATTGTGGTCTTTTGAAATCTCAGTATTTTTGTTTTGCAATCGCCAATGTTATATGTAAGCTTTTCAAGCGAGAGAAGCTTCTCTAACATTTTAATCGCGCTTTATACTGTATCACCTTTTATGAAACTTATGAAAAAAGAGAATATTTGAAGAGGTAAACATGAAGACTCGTATTGTTATGCCTGCAATATTTACGGGAAAGTGATGGAAAAGACCAAAGGAAAAGTGAGAGGTGAAAAGAGGAATAGTTTCTTACATTGAGAAAAGAGTTCTAAAAAGCAAAACGCAAAAGTAAACTTACGTTTATATCAATATCAATATCAGTTCACAAAAAATGTTCAGTTTCTTCTCTTCTCTATGTTTATATTCTCTTCACTACTACTACATTGCCATTCTCTCATATTATAAAACAATAATATACCTTATCTAGCAAATATATCCATAATTAAATCAAAATGATTTTTGATACACAAAAGACGGTTTATCAATTATCATTATCCAAAAGAGAGAGGGAGATATTTTGTTTCCTCTTATCTTCAACTTGAGAAAACAAAAGATGGTTTATCAATTATCATTATCCAAAAGAGTGTTTTTATCCTAGTAAAACTTACGAGGTTCTCGGAAATTTAGGGTTTTGCTTTTTTCGTTTTCCTCTTATTTGGATTTTTCTAAAAAAAAAAAAGGTGTCTGGTTGGATCTAAGTAACTTACGGTACAAGTAACTTCAAAAAACATATGCAAAATATGAGTGTGTAATTGCGTATGTATATTTAATGCATTGTAATGTCTATTAACTATTAAGAAAAGGAAAATAATATAAGGTCGGTCTCTTTTCTCTCTCCACCCTCCTCTATATATACAACACATGTGCACACACTCACAATCACAAAATCATCCGTTTTCACCAAAGGAACCCTAAATCTCTTTCTAAAGCAAAAAGAAAACCCTAACCGGTCTCTATTATCTCTTTCAACTCCTCAACGTACAATGGAAAAAGCTTCTAAAATCTGCTTCATCATCGTCCTCTACCTGTTGATCAGTTGCTCTGCGTTGTCTTATGCGGCACGTATTCGTTTTACTGATACTGTCAACAAAAACGACCACAACTCAAGATATAATCACAAGCGGAAAGTGGCACGTGATCCCTACTTTGACACGGTTGAAGATGATGTAAAATACATCGAATCCGAGCCTTTCCCGTATCCAACGATGATCCACAACGTCGAAGAGTCTCTTATCAGAATGCAAGATTTTTAGATCGTCAATGAAGCCAAGATCAATGATAGTAAAGACGACTTTTTTTTTTTTTGTGAAAACATGATGATGATGTTATAATAATTTCCTTTTTACAATATAAACGAGTTATTGTATTTGTTGGATGATTCTATCTATTTTTTCGGATGTCTATAATTTTACTTAAGCTTTATCTATATATACTTACTATAATGTCTTTAATTTATATCCTAGAATTGTTTCAATTTACACGAGCTATAAAACAAGTTCTAGATATTGCTCAGCATCCAAAATTAATGTATTTAATAAAAAAATTCAATATTACGACATAAACCAAAAAGATTTATGAAACACGCATGCTATGTAACAACTATAAAACATTATATAAACAACTACTGTAGACGACAAAAAAAAACAAACTACTGTATCGCTCCTAAAGTCAACTAGCCAAACTACTGTATCGCTCCTAAAGTCAACTAGCCACATTAATTAGCAAAGATTAGAAGCTCAAAATATATCACAAAGTTAACCGCATAAGCACTACATATCCGGTCGATAGAGTATCAAAATGTGGTTGCTGTTTCTTCTAAATTATAAATATTGATAGCTTATAAAAAATATAGATGGATTAAATGACGAATCACTTTAAAAAAAAAAACAATTCTTTATGATTTGTATCATGTAACTTCAATCTTCTTACGCACATCCACTACACCAATGAGCAAAAACATGATTATTTATGTTTTGATATATTGTGATGGTGTTTTCATTCTGGCTAATGAAACCAATTTGCTTGTAGGAACTAGGAAGCTTAGAGGCATAAATACGCCGGGTAAGGTTACCATTCACTGAAGTCATGACGTCCCGAGTCCAGACTCTAGAGCATCCAATTGACTCAGATCGAGACTCCAATTGACCTCTTATAAGATGTATAAAATGTGTTCCATTGTTTGCAGTTCATTCAACGAAGCTATTACAACTATAGACTTTGTGAACTAGGATTATTGAATCGTTCAAGTTTTCAGGCTGTTGGTTATTTTGAAATTTCATTTTGATTTCCGTTAATAGTTTTTCTTTCAGCAAAAATAAAGTCATATAGATCAGAATATCATTGCATGAGCTTAATCATTAACTTGCCAAAGCAAAAAACAGGAAACAAACACTTGTGATAGACAAGCAAAGCAAAAAGCCAAAACCAATGTTTTTTGCATTTAAGAAAACTGAAGGAACTAAAACAAAAAAAAAAGTTTCCAAACTAACGTCAATCTTCATCTGGTGGGAGGACTTTTGAACAACTTTTTCTCACTTGACCTAGATGACCAGTCAAGACTCCATGATTGGAGAGTTTAATCATTGCATCCTCGAAATCTGCACGGAATAAAGCTGGATTCTCAGAATAACGTCTCACCCATAACTCTGTCTTAGTATTGGTGGTAAGTTGCTGATCAGCAAACATCACCCCTTTCCCAAGCCTTAGTCTTCTATAGTATCTTGTCCCGAAATGAGCATCACCTCCTTCATTGTTAAAGCTCAAATCAATCACTCCATCAGTTTTGTTCTTCGAGTTCCCTGATGCAGGCAAGGAAGGTGCTGACCCAGAGCACATATGTGGAGATGGAGATGAAGACGGCGCAGAGAAGGGGCATACGGCTTTTAGTTCTTCAAGGAACTCTGGATTGAGTTCAGGGTCAGGTTTGCCTGTTCCTGAGAAGTTGTAGAGCCGGTTCTCGAAAAATATGCAGTGCGTAATGCCAATGCTGTGTGCTCCTGAATTAGTACAGTCAGAATATACAAATCAGGACAAAAGAGAGACATGTTTGAGATAACACGAGAGGGAATACCAAGTAGACTGACGGTTTCTTGCTCGTTAAATCCCTTGGAGGCAAATACATGAAGAATATCCGAGAGATTAGCATTTGGTGAAGGAAGCCATCGTTCTGCAGCTTCCTTGAAGGCCCCTAAACTATCTTTCCTTCCAGTTTCAACAACATATCGTGGACCACCTGCCTGAAAGGTTCACAAGGCAAGAGATTAGAAATATTAACATGGACAAACCAGAAGAGAGTAAGAGAGATGGGTATTCACCACTTTAACAGACTCTCTAGCAGCCAAGACAATAATGTCCGCGCAGGAAACAACTCCAGGACAGAAATGCTCGAGCTCAGACTTAAAATATCGTCAATCACATCTAACCCTTTCAAAGAGAGGTTCGGAGGTGCCTCTTTCTCAGATATCATAGATCCATCCGAGTCCAGAAGGACTGATGCATCACATCCCTGAGCACAAACAAAAATCCACTTTTTTAACACGAGAAACTTCAAAAAGTGAGCTAAAGGAATTCACAACATAAGATCATTTTCCAGTTGCATACAAACACAATGTCCCCAATTGCAACATGAACAACTTCAACAAGAACTAAAAGAAATCACAACATCAAATCATGCGTAGGCAAGATCAAGAGCCAGAAATCTATTGACCAAGCGGAATTCCCCTAATCTAATTTGCAAGATATCACAATAGGACGCTCCCTGAACAATATATTTTCACAAACAATCTTATCGTACTTGTAACAGACGAGATTACCAAAATCGAGATAGGTGGAAGAGGAAATCTGACCTCGACGAAGCAATCATGAAATAGGAGGCGGATGAGAGACGGAGCTATGCTAGGTCTACTATGGTGGACATCTCTGATCATTTTCCTAACGATTCTCTCTACCGAAGGGCAAGACTGGCGGTAGTAATCCGAGCTGAGCGAGTAAGATCGATCGTCATCCTCTTCTGCGATAGACACGTAGAAAGAGCTCACATCTTCTTCAACGGTGGATTTCATAAAATCCCTACCGCCGGTAAGATTTCCCGGTGTATCTTTCGCGAAACGGAGGTTAACGTTGCCAGATTTGGGGCCGTAAAACGCGACGTAGATGCTCAGCGCATAACGAAGCAGGTAGCGAAAGCGATCTTTTGATTTCCGAGAAAATTCATCTTCGTCTCTCCTTCTGATTCTCTTCTTCGTCTGCGATTTTGGGTTTGGGTACACTCTCGTCTCGTGAAAGCGAAATTGGGGAAGAAAAGGAGGGAAAGAAGCAACTTGCAAGTCTGCAACGGTGAGGAAGTCGAAATGAATTGACGGATATGCCCTCCAATTTACTGCTTAATGATTGTAATTTTTTGGATTGTAATTTTGGTAATGGGCTTAATTGGGTCTCACTTTTATTTTATGTTGGGCTTCTTTGATGTGTTGTATGTAAACTGCTCTCCCTTTTGGGCTTTTTTATAAAAGAAATGGACGACAAAAAAAAACTATTTATCACAAATAATATTTCGCATATGGACTGTATAATTTTTGTATTCGGGAAAGGACAGGTATCACTGGCTTTTCTTTTTCCTCTCTCTCGCTCTCTTTAGAGTCATTCACCCCAGACTAACTTGAAAACATTCTTACTGGCGGTTGCACAGATTACATTGTTGCTTCGATTTCTCAACATCTCTTCTTGCGCCAACATATTCCCTTCCTTCAAAAACAAAACATAAGCAGAGAGAGTTTTGTAGTTAAAGATTGGTGTTCTAAAGCAGTACAAGATTTTGAGATCTCAGGCAATGGCAAAGAAAGGCTTACTAGATTAGCATAGGCAGAAGCAAGAGATGAAAGTGTTGGGTACATATCAAGAACCGCCATGGCAATTTCCTCTGTTACCTGAGGGACCTGCGCACCAAAAAAAGTTTTGGAAAGTTGCAGAGAAAATCCACATTACTTATCAACAGCAGTCTATTCACACATCAGAGAATAGACAACCGGAATAAGCTTTACAAGTAAGATGAACAGTACCTGCATAAGCTGAATGGCAAAAACATCGCTGATTGTCATTTTATCGAGGTCTTGACACCTTTTGACAAAACTATCAAAACAAGGATACGAGACCGAGACTTTGCTCTGGTCATCGTTATTCACCAGCGACTTATAATACTGGTGTATCGATTTAGTGAGATAACCGTATTTTCTTAGCGTCTCCCCCAGCCCGTTTGTCCTCACCACATCAAATCCCTCCAGAATCTCCGTTGTGAAACAACTAGAAGCATATATAGATGATAATAAGTTTGGATCACAATTTTCTGAAGAAAATCTTCTGAAGAAAAATGCATTCTTACGCTGTCTTAATGCTTTCTGCTGCTTCAGACTGGTTTGGATCCCCTTCAATGATGTATATCAGCTTCTTGAATCCCGATCTCTATTTAGAATACCAATTCAAGAAAATGAGAAACAACCATCAACGAAACATATAGTACGTAGAAAACTTAGCAGTAGGGAATTCACATACCTGAAGTCTAAGTTTTTGGTCCCTATAGCGATTATCTCTAATTGACGAGCGTAAATCATCAACGTTCTTCCTCTCAACAATAAAATCCAGAACGTATTCAGTGCCAAGGCGCTTATGCCGAGCAATCCAGATACAATCCCCAACTGGTAATCGCCTAACCTACAGATTCAAAACCACCATTCCAAGTTAATCTCTGCAAATTTGAGATCTGTTGACATCTATCCAGGAAAACAAATGCAAACCTCAATCTTAATCTTGAACTCAGAGCATATGTAATCAACTATTTTCCTGGATCGTGATCTGTGAATAAGAAGATATGGGTTTAAGTGTTATAGTCTATTGTCACACTTTCATAAGTAAAGCATAAGAAAACTCGAGGAAAGTCAGCAGAGGAAGATTAAATGTTCCACGAACCCCTTAGTGGCAAACTGTTCACGGTCATCCAGTATCAAGATCACCAGATATTCTTCCTCAAACGCTTGTCCAAATGTAAGAGGAGGGAGGCATGGAATATTTGTAACTCCTTCGGTTCCATCTGAAGGTAACTTTGTAACCATGAAACAGTAAAGAACAAACAAAGCTGATTAACAATCCACTTGCTGCTGATCGTAAAAGAGTAATATACTAAACGCAAATGGTTACTTACAGAAGATGAGCAGGCTTTTAAAACATGACTCGAACCGGATGAACATGATTTTAAGGCGTTTCCATCATTGCAAGAGCGGAACTTCTTAGCAGCATGAGATCCCTCAAGATCAACTTGACCTGTAAATTTGTAGCTAATACTTCATAAAATGAAACATTCAACTTTTAACAGACGCAGTAATAGATATTAGATCATATGCTTGCTAAAGACCGTACAAGTTTGGGCTCTAGAAGGTCCTGCTGAATCTTCCGTCCTATTTGGAGAGCCCGAACAGGGAGTGTAAACTTCTGCTTGACGAAGATGGCACATCACAGATAGCCAGAGAGTTGATGGGTCTTTGTCCTGAGATCCAACTGAAACCTCTCTGAATGCAGCAGCGACTTGTTCCTTAGAATAACCAAACGGTGTAAACTGTAGGAGAAAACAAAAAATTAACACTGAGACAAACAATAATGTGTAAGAAAGAAATTTGTGCAAGAAACACTGTCAAAGAAAGCAAATTGAAGCTCCAATACCGTTTTGAAGGAGTACCTTTTCAATGATATTACTTGGAATGGCTGATTGTGCCCTTGATCTCGGAGCGGCATGTGTTTGTACTTCTTCTCTCATGGTACAAGAGGAGGTGGAATTTGGATTAGGTGTTTCCTTTGGCTGCTGTGCAGCATCCATTTCATCATCGGATAAGATGTCAAGTGTAGGTAATCCAGATCGCGTGATACATTCATTTGCTACTTCCCGGCCTTCGCCTGTCAGCATGTACCTATGAAAAAAAAACACTATCTCATCCTATTTATCAAGGCAAGGTCTACTTCTCTACACATAATACAAGTAAAAAAAGCACAAAATACATTAGGCAGAGTCTTGGAAATGAGTTTTTACTTTGCTGGGTTGCTAGATTTCACCACTAATCCCTTATCTATGAGTGTTTTCATGCAGTTCCATCCACTATACCACTCCTTCTTAGAGTTTCCCAGTCCTGCTTTTCCTTTCCCTTTCTCTGGCCTAGTCACAGGAATGGAAGAATCAACCGGAGAGCAATGATTTAGGTACAGAATTAACAGATTAGAGATTGGGGACGTGATAGATTCATACGCTACAGGAGCATGTGAGAGCCCACTCGCGTCAGCAGCATCAATAAGCTCTTGTTTGCGCATGAACTCTTTACCATTCGCAGTCTCTCTGGTAAACAAAAACAAAACGATTCTGTACTGAGGGAAAAGAAAGAGCACATTGAGAGGAAAACAAAGAGCACATTGTAAAGAACCTGTGCAACGTTATTAGTAAGGCAAAAGCCACAGAATTTCTTTGTGGAATGTACCGTCTTTTTCCCTTTGCTTTTTTTCCTGAAACAGAATAAAAAGCACTAAGTTTAAACCTTACATTGATATTTCATGTAAACAAATGTGGTATTAATAATGCTGACACCATTACCGTCAGAGTTTTCTGGTAAATCTTCTTGCTCAGAACTTCCAGCTCCAGTATCAAAATATCCTTTCATCATCTTAAGCATCCACTTACCAAAGCCCCTATGCAACAAATCCAGCCAAAATAAGAACCAAACACGGGTGGATACAAGCAAAGCCACCCAAAGGATAAAATCACTCAAAATCAGGTCTTTTTTTTTTGCATTTAAGAAACCAAAATTGATACAAATACACACTTTCCCTGGAACAAAGACACACTTTGATATTCTCCGATTTTACAACGATAAGAAACAAACAAATTCTCTGACTTTTGAACAGTCCCAACCCTCATGACTCCAACGTCAGATAAAACCAGCACAAAACCTTAGCAAAAACCTAAATTTACAGGAACAATCAATGCATGTGAAGTCAATAACAAAAATATATAAAACTGAGTATCATATTACTCTCTTTGTCACTGAATCATTCCATCACTCATTCAATACTGAAAAGGCGGAAAATTTCGAACCATAAACACAAAAAGGTCACATCTTTTCCATAATAAAGAAAATAGGCACCTCAAACAAAAATCGACTAACCCATTAAACCCAATACCAGCAAGAAGAGTAGAAAACCTAGGAAACGACATTTCACCTAAACCAAAAATCCATAGAGAGAAGAGAAGAAAAAGAAAGCAAGAAACATACTTGATCTGCGACAAGTCTTTAAGTGTGCTAATGGGATCCTTAGAGTCGCAGACATTTCTATAGGCCTTTAGAAATGTCCTCTCCAGATTTTCCGACAAACCCTTGGGCTTATCCGCGTATTCTCGCTTCTTCTGCAACACATAGTCCGCTAAACCTTGGTTCTCCGGACACAATACCCTTCTCTCGTCATCCATCACTAACCACTTCAAAGAGGATCAGAAGATCATCAAGTTCGCAAAAAGGGGAGAAAATTCTCGTAAAGGCTTGATCCTTGGTTTGCCGGGGAAGTGGAATTAAGCTTTTAGGCGTTTTCTTTGAGAATTTCAAAATTTGGGGATCCGACTAAACTACGCTTGATAAGGTCATGACGCGACGAGTCAAGAGCCTCTCCCTGAGGCGGAGACTTTTTGAGTGATAATAAACTTCCAATAAGACGACAATCTATCTGGTGGGTAACCTTACCAATGTACGTTCTCATTTTAATATTTTGCACAACAAATAAATATGTAATTCACCGAACATAATTATATTTCAATTCTAAACATGAACAATTCACTTGGTTCCATAAAGTTTTTTCAAGAATAATTTATGTTCGAGGATTAGTATGAACGTTTAAGTTCTCAAATGGTTTTGTGGAATGAATTGCTTGTGCTTGGGAAAACTATTATTCCCCACTTAAATTTACTTTTGTAATCATTATTGAATGAAATAAATATAATTTCTTTGTAAAACTTCAAGAAAAAACTATCGATTGTGTCGAGGTTCAAGGTTGTTTAGATGGATAACCGGATAACAAAATCATGATCGGCATTAGTTAACCAGACCACTAAACCACGATCTTCGAACCAGTTTATCATTTTGATTGCCACAACTTGATTGATTTGGTTCCACCACGAATAAGGTTAGCTCAGTGACAAGAAGCTAAGACCAACATTAGGCAGGAATTTTAGCAAGTCTAATAAAGTAATAAACGTTTGAATCAGGTTATAACATTTCCATCTCAAGGAATCAAAACAAAACTTTCAGTGTAAACCACGTACTCTAAAACTATTTACCCATTGAGATTCCTTCATTCAAAGTTCTTATATGAGAACCATGACTGAAACCACTCTCAATACCCAACACTAAGCCGAGAACGGAGATATCTTGCTTCTGATTCTCTTACACTTGCTTGTAAAAGAGGACATACGCTTGGTCGTGCAAAACCTGTTTTGTCCCTATGGCAGTCACTGAGGCATCATCAAATCTAAGCCACTGACCGTTCTTTCGTCGAGCATCTGTCGTGTAGTGTCCTTTTGAGGGATCCCTTCCATGGTGAGTAACAGTCGCCACAAGTTCATATTTTAAACCCTAAAAGAAGAACTTTGAGTAAGCATCGACAGATGGAGAGAGAGAGAGAGAGAGATGTAAAGGATAAACAGTTCTGTTTTCGACTTTATACCTTGTTGGAAGGAGAAACAAGAAGGTAGCGGCCTAAGTTGAGTTCGAGGGGAAAATGGACGGGTTTATGCAGCTTAGTACTCCCTTGGCTTCCGTAGCTAAAACGCATTAGGTGCAGAATCATTATCTTTGAGAGTTTCTGTATCTTTATCGACTTTCTAGCACTCACTACACCAGCCTGAAATGAGAGAACTCAAACAGGCAAATAGGCCAATTATTAAAAAAAATTTTCATAAAGAACCTTCTTCAACCAGTAGTATTATAGGAGTAAAAATCATGCTTCTAATATCCCACAGAATTAATATAGCGAGAAGAGAAAATAGTCTACCTTCCCAGTAACCGAGGCTCGATACCCTTCAAGATCTTCTGGGGCAGAAAACAAATGCAATGCATCTTCTATTGTAGTCACAGCTTCCGGGTGAATATCAAGGTGAAGTAAGAGATATGGCTGTACCGTAGCAGAATCTTTGTTCCCTGTTCCATACATGACATATGAGTGACTGATGAAACAGAAATTATATCATAACTTTTTAAAAGAAATTGAAAATGAATACAAAGAGTACAAATACCTTGTGCCTTCACTACGCTTCTAAGCTCCCCGCCGAATATAGCGCTGAGCTCAGTAGGAACAACGCTTTGTGTCCTAGTCACAGCTGATTTGTTTTTGGGTCCAACTGTTTCCCATTCATCATCATCGTTGGCAGAAGAAACAACCGAGGACTTAGAAGAAGTGGATTGTTCCCTGAGTTTCAGCAACTCATCATGCATTTGGTCCATAATAAAACTCAGAAACTCCTGAGCATCTTCCTGTCTGCCAAAACAAGCACAGAATATGTTTTACATATTTAAAACAGAGGAACATCAACATTCCAGACTGTGTGAGAAAGTCACAAACCTTGGCCGCCCAGACATGTTGTTGAGTACATCTGGGGTAAAATTTCTAAGTACTCCCTCAAACATGGCAGGTGTAAAAGGTCTACCATACTCAACAACGGCAACATTATTTCTGAAGCTTGAACTGCTTGGCACATCTAATTCAGAGATGAACTCGGAAAATGCAGCTAACGTTGGAGACTCAGCCTGATAGCACAGAACATGAAAAATCACAATAAGACCACAAACATAGAAAATAGAATTAAAGAATAGGGAGAAAAATGCAGGTGAGAAACCTTTGGAATATTTTGGAGTTGTATTCCCTGGAGGAGCTGCACAAAAGGAGAACACGAGAGTAAAGCCTGCAGCGTTGCATTGAGGAAGCACAAATTTCCAGCGTTTATTAATCCTCTTGGTGTAAAGTCTTTAATGGGCGGAAGGGACTCAGTAGCAACCATCTGGTTGTCCTTTCTTGGTATGCTGCCAGATGAAGAGTCACTTGACAAAATTTCGCTGTCCAGAGCTTGGAATTTTGAGCTCGAAGCTTTAAATAAAGAATCACCTTCACCATCTGACACACACAAGTTATCAAAACTAGTAGGATCTATTTTCATCGCCACACCATTGTTGAGAGATTTTCTGTCAGAGACCTCTTTTATAGTACCATTTTCTTCCACATGCTCTGGAACTCCTGAAGAGTGTTTCCCAGGGAGTTTTGGAACACTATCATTGCACTTATCAGAGCTGGAAGGTCTAGAAGCATCATGTCTCTTTTGAGACTCAGCAGATTGAAAACTTTTACCCTCCTTATGAGAGCTGGAGGGTCGAGATTTGACTGTCCCATCAGCCTGACCTTTCTTCAACTCGCCATTAGTATTTACTGAAGAATTTTCCGCAACAAGATTCAAGGAGCCGAATTGTATACTTCCCACACACTTCTCTTTATGAATCTGAGGAGCCTTAATGGGTTTCTGTTCAAGTAATGACCTTGTTTCATGTTCTGTAAAGGATCCAAACACAAATACCTGCCATGAACAAAATAAGGATAGGGAGCGTCATACAGGGAGACTAAAGCATATACATAGTTTTTATAGCACCAAATAAGCAAATTTAGGAAATGGAAATAATATGAAAGAGAATAATAGTCTCTCGCTGTATTATACAGTATAACCAAGCATCAACAAGAAATGATCAAAGTGAAGCTATAGAAACATACAAACTATAATATCAACTACCAATGATCAAAGGGAAAATACTTAGAAAATACTAGATTTTGCCCGTTTAAAGTTTACAGCTGAACAGATTCTAGATATTGCCCGTTTAAAGTTCACAGCTCTTGTCGCAAACACTTCAAAAAACGACAATAAGACCATCTCCACGAAACAAAACAGCCTAAAGACAGCTACTTTCTTTCTCGGGTGAGCTCCAATGCAGCTCTAAATTGTTCTAGACCATGAGAACTAAACCCTAACGCAACATTAGACAGGAAAAAAATCAAAGCTAAGAAACTCAGAGGCAGACAAAAGGTGGGAAATTTACCTTCTTTTCACTCATACTTGGCACATACAACGCAAGGGAGAAGAAATTGAAGAGCAGCACAACAGCCCACAACAAGTAATCTGATTCAGAGAGAGATCCAACGGAAACGAGATGAAAGAAGTTTCAAAACCGAAATAAAAATCTAGGGTTTGAGGCACCAACAACCCTGAATGAGAGTCGGCGACTTGAGGAGACATGAAAGGGGAAGAGGCGAGGAAGAAAGAGAGGATTTAGAAATGGAAGCCCCCCCTTGTCTGTTTTTCTCTGCAAATTCGAAATGGGGAATCATCCGAATTTGGAGGAGGTATGTAAGAGAGAGAGAGAGAGAGAGAGAGAGAGAGAGAGAGACAGACCTTTTGGGATGATTTGAGTAAAAAAATTAGGGTTCCTTCTCTTTGTCGGATAGTTTTGGTGGAGGAGTCGAGGACGGAGCTTAGCGCCGCGTTTGGATCTTCGTCTCCTCTTTCGTCAAACGCGTCGTCGCGTCTTTACAGTAAACATCTCGGTTCAATTTTCATTTCATTTCGGTTTTCTAACAAATATCAAACCATAATAACATTTATACCGGTTCGGTGTGATGCTTCTTAATTGTGGTGGTTCAAAGACTTACAACTATTCGATCAAACCAAACTTATCACAGTGATTCCGGTTTGGAATGGTTTCTTAGTTGTTACTAAATTCCGGTTTGGAGTGATTTCTGTACAACTATATCCTATGTCTCGGGTTCGAATCTTTTTGTCGGAAACTAATTTATTTTATCAAAAAGCCAAATATCGCCGACGACTCCACGGTTGCTTCACCGGTCCGTTTCTTCTTGGCCTGTTTCTTTTTTCTCTATTTATTTCTTTGGATTTTAATCTCTTCGATTTTCGATGAAGCTTAGACAGATGTTAACAATAGTTTCATGAAAATGGCTCCAACAAAATTTGTGTTTATTTATATAATCAAAAGTTCAAAACACTTCCACTCACAGATTTTCCGGCAAAAGTAGTCAAATGTGCAAGACTCATGTTCTCCGCAGTCTTCGCTGTTAATAAGATTCTGAAAGAAGGAAAGGTTAGTATTTTATTCGTGGTGGAGTCTCAATATAATAATATTATATATGTTGATTGATTTCTTCGATTCCTGAGCTGTTTACACATTCTCACCTTTGAAATTGATAGCTTTTGACTAATTATTGAAACAAAATCATGTAGGTCACGACGATGAGCTGCTGCTGATGTGAGAGACCTTTGTTTTTATTCGTTTACAAGGAGGGCAAAATACAAATTAGAGAAGGAGAAGAAGGAGACAAAACAATGAGTGTCTCTTTGAGTGTGATGACATTCAATCTTCACGATGATCAACCTGAAGAAAGCCCTAACTCATGGCAGAAAAGGAAGGATTTGTGTCTCAGTGTCATCACCAGTTACTCCCCCATCGTTCTCTGCACCCAACAAGGTTCCATTCTCTCTCTCTTTTCCTTTTCTTGTTCCATGGATGAATCTATGCTTGTTAGATCTTGATTTAGTATTTGTGATCTGGGTATATTTGTGTGTTCTCCAAGATGGAATTTTGAGTATTGAACAGAGATGTGATTTTGTTTTTGATCTTCTGTTTCCTGTTTCCTTTGTTTCAGGTGTGAAGTCGCAGTTGGATTATCTTCAGCAGGGCTTGCCAGGTATATATACTATCTCTTTGATTTATAAAAGTATAATTTTCGGCTTAAATGGTGTTTGAGTTATGTGACTATTGATGAGATAGATAGATGTAATTGAATTCTGTTTGGATGCAGTGTATCAGATTCTTCAAATCTGTACAGTTTTTAGTTCAATCAGTGTGAATCTCGATATCAATCATAGACCATTCTTCTTGTTCTTAATTTACGACGTGAATCTAGTGAGATCTAGATTTAGATTCTATTTTTAGTATATGCTGGTATTGCCTAAATCTGATAGTCCATTTGTCAAAACCACTATCCTCAAGTTAGCGTTTTAAACTACAAAACCAGTGTACTAGATGTGTCTGTTGTATGGTAATGGTATGATGATGGTGGCATTGTTTACTTTGTTATTTCTTTCTGCTTGCCTTAGCTAAGAATGAAAGAGCTAGCTTCTAGTTCCACATGCCTTGACAATACTTCAGTTTGCATTTTGTCCTTGAATCTAAAAGAGATGGTCGTACTCTTCGCTTGCAGCCTATGATCAGTTTGGCATATCAAGAAAAGGGTCTCAGGATGCCACTGATGAATCTTGCACCATCTTCTACAACAAGGAAAAAGTAAGACTATTATTAATGAAGCTACATCAATGATCAATGGCACTTTCTTGACGATTAAATTTCCCCTTATTTTATGCTAATTGAAGGTAGAGCTGCTAGAGGGTGGAACTTTTTGGTTGTCAGAGTCTCCCTCGGTCCCTGGAAGCACGGCATGGGGTTCTGCAGTTCCTTGTATAGCGACATGGGCCATATCCTGATTACTCATGGGGTTGATTATAGCTAAACTGTAATTAGATTAGTATTTGGGTTTGATTCCTTTTGTCCTATAAATCAGGATTTTGTGTTTTCTTTGACAAGCTGCCTACACATTCCAACTGAGACAAGTGGAGCCGCCGGGTTTTTCGTTTCAGATAGTCAACACAAACTTGGATGAAATCAGTCCTCGTGCTCGTAGGCGAAGTGCTTTGCTCACATGGCAACACATAGCATCATTACCTCCCACCTTGCCCGTTGTGTACTGTGGAGGATTCAACACACAGAAAGAATCAACAACCGGGCGATTTCTGTTGGGCAGATCTAGGTACCTTAATATCACCTTCACAAGTTTTTTTTTGCTTTTTACTCATTTCATAGCTATACTATTCTACACACTCTGGTCAACTAGTTTCAACTCAAAGTATATTTCCTTATTTGACTGCTGAAATTTTGGGTATTCATTCAACTTGTAGAGAGCATGGTGTGGTAGGGGACATGAGAGATGCATGGCCAAGTGCCCGAGTACGTAAAAATGCCGCTCTTATTAGAACATATCATGATTTCAAAGGTGAAGAAAATGAATCATTTTCACCCTCTTATGAGTTTATCTCCAGAGCTCCCTTGTATCATAACATATTGGGCCTTTGTTCAGGTGATAAGCAGGGAACGGTCGAGTTCCTGAAGCTAATATTCAGAGCGCTATGCCTCTGCTGGGACCGACAAACACAAGATCTACACACGGATTGGATACTCTACAGAGGCCGGTCTGTAGTTCCCGTAATGTGCGAGGTGGTAAATGATAAGATCGACGAGTTGTATCCTTCGTCTCACTACCCTGTGTTTGCTGAGTTTATGCTTCCTCGTTCTGTAAGAATGCTAGAAACTACTACTCCTGTTCCTGCTCGTGCTCAAGAGGAAGCTAGAACACTTGTCATGTCTTAAGCTTTGGCAAAATGCTGATTGTTGTTGTGCAAATTATCTCTGTTTCCTCTCAGAGCCTTATTGGTTTGAGCTATATAACTTGTTCAAAAGAAATAACTATTTTTTTGTCTACTTTTGTTCCAAGACGAACGACAACCTTAAAAAAATTCAGCTGTCAATAAACTTTTAATTAGGCTAGTGATGCTATGGTAAAAGAAAAGCATCGAAAAACTTGGATTAAGCTCGTAACACCACTCTTGGAATGTCATGTGCCTGACGTTGGACTCATTCTGTTTTCAATACATTCTAATAACATTGACTACACTCTGAAGTGATTGGTTTGGAGCAGTTTGTTCTTACTTGACCTAGAGGACCAGTCAAAACATGATAAAAAGAACAACATTTTTCTCGAGGACAAGAAAGGAAAACAATAACATTTGAAAGACCATCAATTATTAGAGTAAATCATTCCGAACACAATGAGTGGTCTCTAATTTAAGAAGAAGAAGAATTGTTCTGTACCCACTCAACGAGTGTCGCAACTCCAAACCCAGTCGCAGCTTTCTTCTTCTCGTTCCACACCGGTCCCGCCATATCTATGTGCATCCACTCAACCTTTTCGCTCACAAACTGCAACCATTTACCAAACCCGGTTCTTCATTAGAGAACAATAATGCAAGTATTGAAGTGTGTTCTTTGTTTATTTTTCTATCAAAATTCTCACCTGTTTCAAGAAGAGAGCCGCGGTGATCGATCCACCTGCTCGGCCTCCCGTGTTAACCATATCTGCAACACCAGATTTCATCATCTCCCAGTAACTCTCTTCTAATGGCATTCTCCATAGCTTTTCTCCGCTCCTCTCTGATGCAGCAATTACCTCCTTGGCAAGGTTATCATTAGGTGTATATATGCCTGTACGAAACGAAAAACCAAACCGATTCTCAATTATCATGAGTACATGTTACTCTGATTGCTTTTAACACAACCTTATTTACCTGCCATGGATGATCCAAGAGCAACAATACAAGCTCCAGTTAAAGTTGCGAGGTCAACAATCTGCACGTTAATGCAAAAACCAACAAAAAAAATTGTTGAATTAGCCTCCTCTATCTTGTTAATAAATGCAAAAAAAAAACTTTCCAACAATACCTTATCGACGCCCTGGTTGCAAGCATAAACTAGAGCATCTGCAAGCGTTAGTCGACCTTCAGCATCTGTATTGTTGACCTGCGCAATATCGCCAACAAATTAGTTTGGTGTAAGAGAAAAGACAACTCAATTTGAAGCTGAAATCATATTGGAAACAATATTACCATACCTCAATTGTCTTTCCATTTGAGGCTGTGATGACATCTCCTGGTCTCATTCCAGTACCACTTATCATATTCTCGCAGGCTGCAACAATGAAGTGCACCTGACAGTACAAAGAGGCATTTGTTTACCAACATTCACTGAACTCAAAAATTCAAGCTTCGTGAGATAAACTTACCTCAACCCCGGGAGGCTTAATTTGACCAATGGCTTTTGCAGCGCCAAGAACAGCAGCTGAACCCCCCATATCGAATTTCATAAGCTCAATTAAGCAACCAGGTCCGGTCTTAATGTTGTAGCCACCACTGTGAACAAAAGCCATAAGGTCAATAACCAGAAAGAAATTGATGCAGAAAACAGAAGACAACGGCTCCGGTGAATCGGTGATTACCTGTCAAATGTCAATCCTTTCCCAACAAGAGCAAGCTTGGTCTTGACAGGGCCGCTAGAAGGTTTGTAGACAAGGTGGATGAAATGAGGTGGATTAGCTGAAGCAGCAGCAACAGCGAGATAAGAACCCATCTTCAACTCTTTGCATTGCTCCTCGTTCAAGATGTTAGCAGTCATGACATCACTATACATGGAAGCCAGCTTTGAGGCCTCCTCAGCTAGTACAGCTGTAAGATAAAACGTCACAGAATATTAAATACACCTACTAATAAGCATGAAAATCCGAGGCTATGATGCTCAAGAAACAATCCATACCAGGGGTGAGAACGTTGGCAGGAGAATTAACGAGTTCCCTCCCGAAAATTACGCCATAAGAAACATCCTCAGCATACTTAAGCTTCTTTTCTAGTTCAGGTCCAGTTCCAAAGCCAATGATATCCACAGAATTAAGACATGGTTTTTTTGACTCGGACTTATACCTGCTGTCTTCAAACAAACCAAGCACTGTGCCTGCCACAAGTGAAAAATGATTCACACAGATCAGTTCCAATAACCGTAACGAAACAAGAATCTGTGTTAAGTGAAGAATTCACAACAACAACAACAACAACAGACAAACAAGCACCTGAAGCTATAGCTGAAGCAGAACTGAGCTTGGATTCGTTAGAAACACTCTCGGAAGAGGCGAGAACAACTGCAACGCTGCTAGCTTGAGAAGCTTTTGCAGCTGCAGCAACAGCCTCGCCGAGACTCTGAAAAGCCGAAGGAGATGAAGCAGATTTTCCAAGACCAATCAAACCGACCCGCTTTGACCCGAGACCCGGAAGCCTAAGAACTGTTGACTGCCCGGGTTTCCCGGAGAAATCTTCCTCAGAGGAGACATCAGCGAGAAGTCCACCCAAGTGAGCATCAAGCTTCTTCAGAATCGGGTTCTCAAACATGGAGTTGGCGTCCTTAGCCATGTCTTTCTCCGTCACACCAACCGCGAGTATGTCCCCTTTCCATTCCGTCACGTCCATCTCCTTCGCCGCGAATGAAATCTGATACAGAAAACCGACGAATCGAAATCAAACTCTCGATCACGAAATCTCTGACTATACTTGACCATAATTGATTACGAATCTCTCTGATTAAACTGCGTTTTGAAACTTTGCACAACTTCTTAATCCGAAAGAGTAAAACGAATAATAAAAACAATCAAATTCAATACAAAGGAAGCCACTACAATCGAGTTTGGGACACATAATAGCAAAACCGAATGATCCCATAAGCGATGAGAGGACTAACCTTAGGATGATCGGTGGAGTTGGCTTGAGTGAGGCCGAGAGTAGCGTGTGCGAGTGTGTGAGCCATGGCTCTGGCTCCTGAAGAACAGTAAAGAGGCGTTACGGCGAGAGCGAGTCTAAGGCGAGGCGGCAACCGGAACCGGACGAAACTCGAGGAGAAAGGTGAAGAAGAAGAAGAGAAGGAACGGTAATGGAAGCGAGAAGAAGAAGAAGAAGCAAAAGATGTAATCAAAGTGACTGCCATTTGAGTGACGACGATCCGAGCTTCTTATATTTATAAGGAGACGAAGCCGCCGTGTGCTATCCGATGACTGATGATGACTATACTGCTACATTTTACTTTGACTCCGCATTTGCTACTATCCGACCCGGCCCACCCAATACGGGTCCGTATCTGACCCGTTCTTAACTTATATGCCTACGTCTTTTTTTTTTTTTGTGTGCGAATTACATGTACTAGTACATGTTTATTTGTGCTTGTCTAGTTCAGGAAACTATCTGGACAACAGTATATACATACCTATTCGAAATATTATCCGCTTTAGATTAAGGAAATTTCTTAAAACATACACATATTGTATTACAGTTTTTCAAGATTGCATGTACGATGATATCTCTGTACAAAACCATTAACATAGTGCAAAAAACAATAGAACTGGGTCTCATAGCACAAAAGCATAGTGCAACCACTGTTTCCGCAAATCTTTATTTGTGAATTCTGATACAAAACCAAAAAATATCCAGAAGCCTGAGCCAATTCCATTACAAGTAAAAAGCAAAATCAAACAGTGGTGAGAAACGAGATAGCTAAAGGCAATCATGTTCATATCTTAGGAGCCTAGAAAATTACCACTAACTATCAAGAAGGCCTTCTCGTCCTTTCAGCGACTAGTTTTTAACAACAAAAAAAAACTAATCTTCTCACTAAGCAACTAGCTCAGACTTTGGTTGCTCTGTTTGCCCAGCCTTGGAAGGCCTATGGATAATCTTTGGTTCTGGTTTCTCAATTCCTTGTATATCGGTTATTCTCAACTTTGTTAATTCCTGGACATAAATTTTGAATGATTAAAAACAACAAACATACTTCATGGAAAGAGCTCGAATAAAGGTAAATGACAAAGTTGAGACAAAGAAGGGAGTTATACCTGTCGATGTCCTCTTGTTCTTCTATAATTCTTTCTACGTTTCTTTTTGAAGATGAGCACTTTTTCATCCAATGCCTGTCACTCATACGTATTGAACTAAGTTAACAAAAACAATTTTTTTTGAAGCATTCCGATGCTGTGGTGTTAAACGAATAGATGAGCACTAATCTAGCAACTTGTTGACCATACATAGCTCCACAAGACTTTCAAAATCTTATCAGTAGCTGATTTGATTTAGCTTCTCTAGTCCATATTAAAATTCAACAAGCAACTCTGATCATAGCAAAAGTTTCATAAGTGCTTAAACTATCACCAATCATCCTCTTTTCAATCGTCAATTTTTCTTATGCAAAGGTTCACCAGTATTATAAAACACCAAGCAAGACAATGAGTCACTTACATGCTCTTCAACTACAGCATGAACAGTCGCATCAGGCAGGATAGGCCTACCAATAATCGTCTGGCTTGCCGAGCCCAATAGAAGAACCTTGGTCAGTATCAACTGCATGGGAACAGAAAGAGACAAGATTCAGCAACAATTAGAATTGGTAAAACAAATGCAAATGCTCTTCTTTCTTAAGAGAGAACCTAGCAAGCATACCTTATCGTTTATGTCACAGAATTTCAATTTCTCTGTGAAAATGGAGTCCCCGTTGCTTACTTTGAACTGATGCGAACCAATCTACGCGAGAGCAATCAAACATTCGACATCAGCGAGAGTGTGAAAATGAAACTAGGAGTTTTGTAGAACACCAGAGAGAACAGACACAAAACCTGAACAACGGCAAACACTGGTTCATAGGGTTTGAAGAGTCGCTCCGAAGGTTGGAGAGGACCCATCACCTTATACCCTATCTCCGCCGCCGCCTCCACTTTCTCCGCCGGTGAATATTCCCTTTCTACTTCCATTTCCGCCGAATCCTCGTAGTCCTCCTCATCATCATCTCCTTCGCTGCTGTCTTCACCTTCATCACTATCGTTTGTGTTCGAAGAGAAACGGCAACCTTGAGAGCGATACGAAAGACTGTACCATGGCAAATCCCTAGTAAGAGATCGATTCGGAATCACGATCCTATTAGTAATGCTGGTCCTGGAAAGCTCTAAACCCGGAAATGAAGAGATCGAGCGCGTATGATTGACGGAGAGAACCGTCGTGGCCCGGCGGCTTAGCTCGCGAAGGCATCGAAGGCTCGTCATCGGAAAGCACGAATAGACTTTAGGGTTTACTACAGAGAGGGGTTTTTGCTCTCGTCGTTTTGTCTGCTTCAAGTTTCAGAAGACCCTCTAAATGAACCAGAGGCATATTGACTCAATTTGTACTGGTTATTGGTTAAGACGTAAGAGAGAGAGTGATGCAAATGAAGAAATATAATTACTTGGGAAGATACTAGATTAACATTCAAACCATTACTAAGCAACACAAAACCTGATTTTCTAATAATAATCATAGATATCTTCATGGTTTTTTATTTATTTATTATATAACAAAAACAAGAAGGCAAAAACTGAGTTAATAGACTCTAACTTAAAAATACATACAATCAGCACTGCTTTATTTCGAATCCAATGCTCAACAAAGTCCGAGCCGATTCCATCACTTTCTCGCCACCAACATCCAATGCTTCACTGCTCTGCTTCTCATTTTCTCGCCCTACCGAGCACTGGCTTGAAGTGGGAATGTTCACCTGATCATCTGACCTGGTTCTCATTGATGTAGGAGCCGCTGCAGCCACAAGCATTGAGCTAGGAGGACCATGGCGTTTCTTTGGCACCGGCATGTCGTGGTTGTGTACTTCTTTGTATGTGATTATGACAGCTGTTTTGTTCTCTACTGCTGTCTCAATGTGTTTACGGACAGGACAACCCGCAGATGTACATCGGTAGTAGTTCCTGAATGTTTGGAGCAGGACACATCAAATCATTGACGAATAAGAAACGTTTTAGATGATATAAATGGGTAAATGCGTTTGGTTTATACCTCGGATTAGAATTCCCTTTCACCATTTTCTGCCCGTATTTACGCCATCTGTATCCATCACCAGAGATCCCAACATCACCAGCTGCGTGTACTACGACTTTATGTTTCTTTCCAGGTTTGGAGACAAAATCTGAACTTTGTGAGTTATCCTTTTTCAGTCTGAAACACACACGATCAAAGAGAGAGAGAAAATAATTTATGTTAATGTTATCTCTCAACATGAAGGGTAAGCACCGACAACCAAAATTCTACAAAACTTGCCTTCGTTTTGGCTCTGGTTCCTCCACAGCTTCGTTCTCAAAATGTCTCTTCCGTTCAATGATTGTTTGACAGATGTTTTCTTTACTTGAAACGGACGGATCTGAACCGCTAGGGACACTTGCTGTTTCTCTTACTACTTTATTATCCTCTGAAACAGGAGTGATAGCTGATGCAGCTCTAATCTCTCTCAGGGAGAAGCTACTCTTCCGTGGAGGTTCATGGCTATGCAAACCTTTGTTAACAATCTCTATCACATTTCCTGAATCATTGGAGCATTCAATTTTCTTAGCACAACAATCAGAATACGTGCACCTGTAGTAGCTCCGGGAGCCCTTGGGACTTTTAACCTGCTTTTGTCCATATTTTCTCCAATTGTAGCCATCAGGAGCCGGTGTCCTCAGAACCGGAGAAACCAACAAGTTGTTAACCACGCAGGAATCAGGTTTTTGCTCTTGTTTAGTTGGAACTGAAACAAGCGATAGGCCTTGTGCATCACCTTGTGCAGATGAAGGATCCACCATTGATGGATCTGGCGATACAGCCAGGCCAGGAGATGTTTCTACCTCGCGATTTTCAGCTGAAACTTTATCAACCGGCATAATCGCACTTACAACATTTTCCTTGCCGCTATCTTTCTCCTGCCAATGTGCCACAGGAAAAAGAAAAAAAAGTCAACTGTCACGCCTTTACTTGTTCTTACAAGTTAAAACCACTATGATGACTAGTCATCCCACGTACTAGTATAATCACTAAACAGGTATTCTTCAAAGATAAAAGCTTTCTTCTTCTGGTCAATAAGAAATCAAAAATGTCAATTTTTCAAACAGCTTGAACTAGTAACAAGTGATAAAAACTATACTTTTACAATAAAGTCTGAAGAGTTAGTGAGCAATTATCAAAATGATCACATCTACTACACTGAAGTGAACTTTGTAGATTTCGTAACTTCAAATTTTACACTTTCCAGCACAATCAATGTCTGGAGAGAGAATCTAACTTGTTAGTGAGAAGAAATCAGCTAAGAAATGAAACAAAAAAATTCACAGTCCAGTGAAAAGAAGAAGAGTGTCTAGCAACTCACCTTCGCCTCTTTTACATCTTCACCATTTGGTTCCACAGCCGAATTTTCTCGAGCACCTTGTAAACATCATTTCGTCAAAATCAAACCCACGTATAAAATCAACCAAGAATTTTGGGAGATAAACCGTTACCTTCAACTTGATCCTTAGCTAGGGTATCTCGCACAGACTCATCATGTAAATCTTCTTTATCCGCATCGGTAACTCCAAATGATTCTTCGTCTCTGAGTTGACTCAATCCGTCATTACACAGCTCCTTCTCCGGTTCTACTTTCTCGCTCTTGTCTGTCTCCACCGCGTAAACCTCAGCTTCGCTCCCCTTCTCCTCCATGGGACGATTCTACTGTCCTGTACTTTAATCTCTCTCTCGTGTCGGAGAGAGTAAAAGAACAAATTCGGTAGCAACAAAAGCAGCCGCTTTCCGACCGATCCCTGTCCAGCGTTGCGTTTTGATCCTTAAAGCTTCTGCCTTTAAAAACAAAAAACAAAAGCGAAAAATAAAAAAGAAGGGGCATAAATGTCTTTGACTGAGTCTGACTGAAGAATGATACTTTCCTTAACAAACTCCGTTCATTTCTCCGTCAAATCATTGACGTATTCCGTTTAGTTATTATTTTTTTTATTTTTTTATCAACATTCCATTTAGTTAATTCATCTGCATCACTGCACTGTGGGTTAAAAATCTGGAAACTAGTGAGTGTTAGAGCAGGTCCATTAGGGGTCGTCAAGTTTTTTTGACACAGATTCATAGGTGTATTGGGTTTAAAAAAAAAAGAAAAAAGGTCCAACTTTGATGAACCGATCCTTCCCGTCGACCTTGATGAACCCGTATCCGAACCACCTGGCGGAAGCGGATTGGAAAAGAAAACAGCGTAATTTTTCGTTTCTCTCTTCTCAATTTTCTCTTTCTCTCTCTTCTCAATTTTTTTGTTGTTCCTTCCACGACGAAGGATCCAACGACCGAGCCGATATCTTCTCCGTCGCCACCGGCGTTCTTCAATTGAATCGAGTGATCTCCTTAATCCACCATCCATGGATCGAGCTTCGCTCCTCATCCTCCTCTGTATATTCTTATCTGACCGCGGCTAATAAAACTCCAGATAAGCTCGATTTAGTAGCCAAATCGCCGATGATTTTCCCGCTCAGCTACTCCTCCCTTCCGCCGCGAGTCGAGGATCTCCGCCGCCGTCGTCTCCAACAATCTCAGCTCCCCAATGCTCACATGAAGCTCTACGACGACCTCCTTACCAACGGGTTTGAATTTTGAATAATTAGCAATTTGTTTTCAATGAAGATCCTGATTTTTCCTCAGGATATTCGTGAAAATTGTGGTTTCCTCAATCTTATGCAGCTACTATACGACACGATTATGGATAGGGACACCTCCACAGGAGTTTGCTTTTATTGTAGATACTGGAAGTACTGTCACTTAGACTTGGAAATTGTTTTTGGTTTGTAGCATCAGGTGATTAACTTACTTTGATCTTCGTAGATACTTGTTTGTAGAAGAAGATGATCTTCAGGGAGTAACGTATGATGTAGCTATGGTGAAATCAATTAGATTTCAGTAGCGCTTTGATTAAGGTGTAATGAGAGTATTGAGTCTGTTTTAATTCTCCTTTTCGATGAGTTTTGCTGCAGAGTTTATGCTTTGCCTTTCTCTGATTAGGCTTGGAAATGGTTTTTGGTTTTGATCGTGGTAAGCTCAGTATTGTAGATCAGCTTGTTGACAAGGGTGTTATCGAGGACTATTTTTCGTTGTGTTATGGAGGAATGGAAGTTGGTGGTGGTGCTATGGTACTTGGTAAAATATCTCCTCCAGCTGGTATGGTGTTTTCCCGTTGGGATCCTTTCCGCAGGTAGAGTAGATATTGAGCTTCTCACACATCACTGTAGTTTCGGGTGTTTGCAGTCCATACTATACCATTGACCTGAAACAAATGCATGTTGCTGGCAAGTCTCTAAAGCTAAACCCAAAGGTCTTTAACGGAAAGCATGGAACCGTGTTGGATAGTGGAACAACGTATGCTTATTTTCCAAAGAATGCGGTAAGTATCTTAAGTCGTACAAACATTTGCTCATTGTTTTTGCTACTCTGTATCTGAGAGTATAAGCATATGCATCACAATCCTTTAGACATTAAGAAGTGATATTCTGTTACTGAGTTGTTAGGAGCTGTCAGACCATCAATGGATGATGTTCGGCAAGAAAATTCACTTTTATAAGCTTAGAATAGAATCTGTTGGTGGTTCTTTGTTATTATAATTTCATGTGAATATGTCATATTGTGTAGGTCATTAAAGAAATTCCATCTCTCAAACGGATCCATGTTCCAGACCCAAATTATGATGATATTTGTTGTATGTTTCTTAATAAATTTTATACTTCTTAAAAGTACTATTAAATGTTTTTTATAATTTCAATATTTTTTCTACTTGTAATAAATTGTATTTTTGTTTTATAATAATTCTGTGTTTAAATTCTTTTCTAAAATTAAATTATTTAAATTTTTTTTAAAAAAATATTTTATTTGGGATGAACCTCAATTTAGAGTTCACTAATGGAACCCAAAAAATATTCAAGTTCATCCTTCAACTCAAAACACAAAAAAAAAATAATATTATATAAAGTAAATTTTTAGATAGACACATAATCGATACTGTTAACTGTTAAGTGCTATGCATAAGATAGATTAAAAGCGTTCTTCGTTCTTCTTCAATAACATATCTTCAAGCATAACCGGTCCATTGTGGATTCTACCAGCCAGATCGAGGATCTTTACACTTTTAAACAATGTGAAAGCTTCAGCTGCAAGCAATAGTGGTTTTATTATACACTTTCCAGCATGAAAGACAAATCTATATATCAAGCATAAAGAATCAGGTTTTTGCTCATTATAATGTAGTTTGTGTGCGTAAGAAGATTGAAGTTACAGAAATACAAAAGCCATAACTCCACAGAGATTACTATAGAAGTACAACAGACAGACTATAAAAGCCTGTTTGTTAACAGATATTCCCAGGGCTTGTTGAAGCTAATCTTGCTGCAATTTATGGGCTAAAGGTCGCTGAGACACTCTTCTGCGTTTCGCTCCCCAAGATACAACCAAACAGTTTGGTTCTTTCCTCTTTGTCCCAAGATAACCTTGACAGTTTTCAGAACCACAATTGCACTTTACTTCTGGACCAAACTGCACAAATCTGCATAAACAAAAAAACACAGCCTAATTTATCAGAATCTCAGATTGCTTAATAAGCTCATCACCAATGGTCCAGAAGTTGACCTGTAATCATATGTAAGTGGCTCTCCTGCTTCTATTTGACGAGCTGCAAAGACACCAACACGGGTCTCACCTTCAACTTGCCTGTTGAAACCACCACACATTCACATGGATTAGACTTGAATCATTCTCTATCGAGCATCATCGACATATACATATCATATAATCTGTGGTTTACCACTTCTCCAATACACAGTTTGGGTTGCAACTGTGATTCAGAAAGCGAGAAGCATTCCCTTTAAAGGTGGCATCAATCGTGAAGTCTTTTTGAATCTCACACATGTAAAAGTCTTTCATGCCGTTGTGCTTCATATCCCAAAGCCTTTGCTCACATTGAGCATCACTAATCACTATGGACAGAGTGAGAAGAATCACTAAAAAAACTCTGTGTCTTTTCCACCACAACCAAAAAGCTCAGTTTAGCTTACCTTCACCGATGTATTCAACAATGAAGTCCTCTTTGTTGATGGATTCTGCTGCCTCTACTCCCCAACCGCAAAGTTTGGTCTGTAAAAACAATAGCATGATATGTCAAGTCAAAAAGAGTGTTATAAAGCAGGAATCAGGTAAACAAGTACTAATATTACCTTAACAATTTTGATCTTCTTCTCTTTGCGGAACGGTCTGTTTCCACAAGTTTCAGGGCATCGGCATCCCTTTGAACAGCTTATGCATTGAACTCTGAGAGAAATGTTTTTTAAAATCAGAAACCATTCAAGCGATGTATCATTTTTTTTTTAAGATAAGAGGTCGGTTGGTTAATCAATCAGAATACCTGCAAACACAGCTCCTGCAGCAAGTAGGGCCACAGTTTGTGCAGCCAACACCATCATTAGCATTATCACGCTTCTTCTTCACAAGGTAAATATCTGAACTCGGTCAAGGAAAGACACGCCTATGTAGTGAGAAATGACAACCATGTGCTTATGTCACTAATAACGAATTGATAAGAAAGTTTTGTATAGAAACTATGAAGGATACTGCGCCTGATGTGCACATAAGGAGGCAGAACATCTTTCGCAACAGAATCTTTCCATGTCAAGTCAATCTTGAACTCCTCCTCAACATATGGCAAAGGCAATTGGCAAAAGACCTCCTGAATTTGAAAGTAAAGGAAATTACTTGCCTCGCTCATGTAAGAAAAAACAGTATCCAGCTTTCCAATCTCTTTCTTTCTTTTGACTTTTCAAGCCAAAAGTCTGTATAAGAATTAGTTTCCTTCCCTAGACTATCTAATTTCACACTCCCAAGAGTTAATAGTCGCATCGGTAGCACGATGCAAGGAAACACTGACCTCCATCTCACTTTGTGCCACTGCATGCTGCTCAACGAACAGATATAGTATCAGTCCTGTAAGTGAGTGTGTATGAGAATACAGATTTTAAGAAAAATTCAGATAAGAGAAACTGGAAAATCGACCTTCCTGTCTAGCCGCCAATCAGTTGGATGCCTCCAACAGACTGCTTTTCCTGGTTGGTCTTTCAGGTGAAGTATTTCTTTTGGCCATGGAGCATGCTTATCGTGAGCCGCCACTGGGCACTTTACACACCGCCATTGAGTTCTTTTTTTGCAGACAAAGCACTCCTGCATACAACATTCTATCAGATGAACGACAATGATAGTGCGTAATCGAACTAATACAATTCAGTTCCCTATTTAAATAGAAAACAAGCTAATAAAAATGAAGAAACCTTGCTTATACTAAACATTGCAAGAATATCTTACATGTTGAGTGCACCTAAATTTGCCGGAATTTGAAAAACCGAGACTTTCTTTAGCACAGAGCGCGTGATAAGCGCCTTGGCAGCCACGAACAGAACACAACAATTCTTCTCCCGGGTACACCAGCTTATGGCAAACAAGACAGTCAACCTGACACCAAATCCCATATTGTCATTGTCTCAATTGTCTGAATAAAATTCCACACGTCGCTAATTGACTTCAAGATTCGATGACCAAGATAACTCTAAAATAGTAAACTAATACTCAAACGGTAACTTTCTGATTATGAGACGATGATTTATATAAAATCCTAACTGGAGCAAGAAAGGGTGTGTTTTCTTAGAATACACAGTCAACAAATGATAAAATTCACATCAATTTCAATACTCTTCTATTCCTTCCCCCAAAATTGATAACTCCAAACAAGAAGTATTCCGAAAAGTCATTGCAGAGCTCACAATCTCACCACCAACAAAAAAAAACGCGGGAAAAACAAAACAATTGATAATTACATAGACAGAAAGCACCAAAATACCATTTTCTTAGCACCAACAAGAAAAGGGAGGAAACATCTCGACTCCGAAACACCGGAATCCACTCTTCTCTTGATCCAATCCCTCACATGATCTTCTAGAATCAACCCTTTCTTGACTCGGTCATGTTTCCCGGTACTAGCAGTGACTCCATTAGCAATTTCGATGTCTCTGACCTCTTTCTGCGGAGGAAGCATCGGCATATGTTTCCGATCGCAGTCTCCGGCTATGTTTTCCGGGGGATTGATCGATTTGGCTAGTTCCGGCCCTGAAGCCTCCGGAATAAATGCAGGGGAACACGTGAGAGCTACAGATGCCGACATCGACATGTTGTCTAGATCTAACATCTTAACACGTGAAGTCGAGAGGAAGAGGAAGATGGTTACTTAAGTTGGTAAGAAAGAAGCGAAATGAAAAAATATGGAGGGAAATTAAGGCGGGAGAAGATTTGTACAACTTTCTTTTAATATGGGTTTATTGGGTCAAAAGACCCGAAAATAAGGATTTGTCTTTGTTTCATTAGCAATGGGCTAACTCACATCCAGAAATTTGTTAAAGAGTAGATGATTGTCGTACATTTATATATTGTCCACAAATCTTTTAAATAATCGATGTGGGATATTCTAACACACATTCTAAAACGTGAAATTTGTGGGATTGGATATCTATGGATATGACCTATATTCAAAAAATTAAAATCTTGGGTTCTGATACCATATTAGCAGTTGGAGAAGAATAGAAAAAGTTGTTAAAGATATTTCTCTGATTAGATTGAAATAAATATGACCTTTTACACTTATATACATTTGAGTTAACTAAAAATGGGCATATTTATTTAGTCTAATCTGTGTTATAAAAGTAAAGCAGACAATGTTTCAAGTCAGAGTTTGTGGCGGTAAAATGAAAAATATGAGTAAAATTTTTGGAATCCACCTTCATTATTTATGCATATTAATTCATATTTTTTACGTTTATATATACGAAGTGAATCATTCTATTATAAACACAACAACATCTCATTTTTAATTTTTTTTTTTTCGACAACAACATCTCATTTTTAATTATAAACATCATTCTCTCTCTTTTACCAGTATTTCTATTTTTTCGGATATAAACTTTTCGCTTTTATTTATATCTATCTTTATAATAAATTATATCTATTATTATAACATTTAACAATTTTTTCTCTTCTTCACCTATTGTTAATATGTTTCTCCAAATTTGGTAGCAAACGTCTTGTATTTCTAATGTTTTTTCGTAAAAGCCCCAAACTTTTCTTCTACCTGCTAAATTTTTTTCTTACACCTAAAAACCAAACATCATATCTACCTGTAACGATGCTGCACGCAATTATCAATGTTGTTAAAACCGAACTGAACAAACTGCTTAAAAATTAATCAAACCATGATTTAGAAGTATATCTGATTCGGATTCCGGAGTTCGGTTTGTTAGTTACAATTTGGATCATATTTTAGTTTGGTTTTCTCAAATTAAATCACGCTAGATAAATTAGGTCTTTTTATAATTAATGTAATTACTTTCCACCCACATATTACATCTTTACGTTAAAAATCATTGTACATTCATTGGATTATTGCAATAGTGAACGTAAAACTAACATATAATAATCTTAAAATACAAAAGTATAAGTTCGCTATATAAAAAATACAGCTAAATCATATTAGTATGTTTTCTTTTTCAATTTCATATATATAGGTTTTTTTCCATTCTGGTACTTATATATGTACGATAAAAATTGGATGGTGAAACTATCATAGAAATTCATATTTTCTTGAGTTATTTTCAGCAATAACATATTGGAAAACAATAAAAGTTACACGCTGATTAATCGAGTTTTCGTAATAATTTAAGTTAGTGTAACTATTGTCTATACTCCAACAAAACGGCAAAACCAAAAAGAAAAACTTGAATCGAAACTGGATTAGGCACTCAACACCCTTACCATTAACAAGACTTTGAAGAAACCCCACAATTTGAACAAAGAAAAAACAAAAATAAGAAACATATAAACCAAAATGGCAAGCAAAATCAAAGCATGAAAAAAAGGAAAAAAAAAAAAAAACCGGTTAACCATATATAATTAGTTGATTTGTGGGGTTGTACTTGTCCAGTGCTGTATAGAGTTTTCTGACCTAAATAAAATTGTCCAACCCGGCCTCTAACACAAATGTATATTGCTTTGTCAAACTTTATCTACTATTTGTCGACAAAATCTATTAAAATCCCAATTTAAACAGAAAATGTTTTGAAATTTACCACGTTGTCTATATTAATATATACCTTTTTTAGTTTGCTAGATTTTTATATACATCTAGAAAGATGGTAAGTAATCTTTAAAAATGTAAATAACTACCCATTCCATGTATTGTTTATTCTTAATCCTCCTCGCAAGAAACTCATGGCGTCTAAGAATCGATTTAGATGAAAAACGGACCAACGAAGCAAACTAGAAGATGTGTTCACTTCACGACAACTTGGTTATATATAATATGTACATAATAAATCATTTAGATTTTTCTTAAATATTTTTAAATACGTGTATGCATAGTATATTTTGGAGTAATTCCCTGTATTTTTCATTAATCAATCTATTGGCCAGCTGCATTAGCCCATGCCATGACTTTTTTCTCTTCTAAATCGATTACATTAAAGAAAATAGTAATCCAGTTGTTGAATCCCTAGAAACATTAAAATGGATTCGAATCCATATTTTATTATGAATTCATTTGAACTGTCAAAAGAAAGAACAAAAAATATGTCACAGTCACATTATCATTTATCACTAATTGCTTCGGATAAAATAATCAATCATGAATAGACAAACCATTTAAAATCACATGTGACATACTTTAGACATATTTTGCAGCGTCAAACATTTGTCTCAATTTTCATGGTTATTTCATTATATCTAAGCAAACCAACTCCCGATACAATTATACAAACATACTACGGTATTCTCACTAAAATCTAGCCATCGTCCTCGCTTGAGAGAAACCCGATTTCACTAAAGTCTAGACTCATACATCAACTTTCGAAAAGTAATCTTATTAAAAAAATTTATCGATATATACCGTATCAATTTTGTTTCATTTTTTATGTGTCTGAAGGTATCTAATGGGGCTTGTGTTGTTCACGTAGCATCCCAAAGATGTCGACATTTATGAAAATGTTTTATAATATCTTTAAATCAAGGTCGTTATATATAAATTAAACCTAAGCTGTCATTGGAGGAAGAACAAAATATATTATTATTTTCGTTAAAGGGAGGACTAACAAAATATGATGGCACTTCAAAACGCAAGGCTGTCATTAATGAATTAATCCAAGGCTGCCATTTTAAGTAGGTTATTCCATATAATTTCTAATAAAAATATTTCAAAAACGATGAAACATAATATTTCATTGTTACACATAAACTATGGTGGGTACGAGCTAGTGTGGACTCTTTTGTTTAATTTTAAAATTATCTGAAATTTTGTATGACTTGTTTTGATACTAATACAATAATTCTATTTGGAAATGAAATGATTTTGGTCTTCCAATTAGTCGAAATTATCAAATCACACCATAATTACTGTGATCACCATGCAACCTGAGTTCCGTTTGTTATAGTACTCGTTATGTCCGTTATCCAACTTGTTTCGTTTGTTTCGAAATCCGTTGTCACCGTAGAAACCCTATTACATGCCATTTTTTTTATAGAAAAAATGTAAACATTTGATGATTACTATGTAACGATGTACTAGTAACATGCCAACATTAAATTCTGGGCCAACGGCATTTTTTTGGTAAGCGAACCATTCGTCTAGTTTAGAATTTTATATTCAAATGGTTGAAAGCGTTTAATTTATTAATCAGTTTAATTCAATAATGAATTCAGGTAATACAGACATACATAAATAATACATATGGTTTTGATTAGTACTTGCAGAATTACGAAATTATATTTTTTAAACGCGATTCTGCAAATATTTCGCCAATAAAAAAAGAATTTGTGGAATTAAAAATAAAACACAGAAATACAATCTGCATTTCTACTTAACAAAAATACAAAAAAAAAATATTAGTTTTAAATCGTTTATTTCATTCCGCATTATTTTTTACCTGGTCTTGTGAATCAATCCTCCTTAAAGAATTTCTTATGCCATAAAACCAGTTAAGAGCCCTGGTTAAAGTTAAAAATTAACACTTTAGTGAATACGAAAGTATACTTAGTCTATCAACCATGGAAACGACAAACTAAATTTGGAGTATATGATTAAAATCAAATACGACAAAAAAATAATTAAGAGTTAATCACATGTTGGTTTCGAGAAATGTACATGAGGTTAGGCAAGAAAACCTTGGTGTAAAAACAAAGGTTTTATCGATTTAAAATAATTACGTCACTCCACTTGTGTAACTTTGAAAATAACTAATTGTTTAAAGACACCACAATTTCTGCATTTCTCACCTTCCAACTGTAACTTTATTATTTGTTTGAAACTGACACGGCGGGTAAAAATAATCAGCTGCATCTTTCCTCACACTAAGCAAAACTAGTTTACCCACTGGTAAAACGACACGTCTCAAAAAAGACTGGTCAAATCCGCCACGTAGGTAAATCTTCAAGACGAGGGAGACGAAAGTCACGAAGCTTGCTCGTTTTAAAATTCAAAAGGGGTTTCCTTCTCCGTATAAGTAGGACTACGAAGCATCCACGAACATCTGAAAAAAAAAAAAAAAAATCCGGATATATTGAAAACTAAATTCAGCCGGAGAGAGAGAAATCATCGGTGGTTGATTCCTCCCCGGAGCTCAATTTCGCCGGGGATAGATTCTCGATTGGGGAGAGTAATCATGCAGAAACGGAGAGCGACGAGGGAAAGTGCGAAGATAACGGCGAGAAATGGGAAAGGTTTGGATTCCGGCGAGAAGAAGAGAAGCGAGAAGAGGTTGATGAAGTTCGAGGAGTTGCCGAGGTATCTCAAGGACAACGAGTTCATTCACAATCATTATCGATGCGAGTGGTCTCTCAAGGAAACTTTCCTCAGCGCCTTCTCTTGGCACAATGAGACTCTCAACATTTGGACGTATGTTTATATATTTATCAAATTTCAAATTTCTCTTATGTTTTTGGAAATTGAGATTTATTCGGGTTTGAAATCGGCAGGCACTTGTGTGGGTTTATGATATTCGGTTGGATGATGGTGGTGAGCTCCATGGAAACGACGGAGCTTGGCCTCGCTAGCTTCGTCAGCTTCTTCTCCGGGTAAGATATTCTGACTTCTGAGGTCAATTTAGTCATTTCTCAAGTTTTTTTGTTTTGGCCCTTTCTAATAAAAAATTCAACCTTTCTGGGCTGTGTGGGTCCTAATGACAGAGCAACAATTCGCTGGCCGTGGCCGTCAATGGCAATGGCAAAAGATGTTTACTTCTCCAGCGATCAAACTCTGCATCACGTAAGATTCTTATTTGCCTTCCTTTATATTCTGTCACATTTGTTTATTCTAATTTTAGTAGACATGCAAGCCAATTAGAATAAACAATGTATGATGTTCTGATTGCAACCTGCAGTAAGTGTTAACATTCACCCACCATGTGATGTTTCTGATCTTCTTTGGACTTTCTATCTTTTGTTTGTTGTTTTTACCTTTGGTCATTAGCTAGCTGCTTTAGTATTATAGACTTGCTTTTATGCCCACCTACTTTTGAAATCACATGATTTTATACGGAAATTAAGGAACAATGGACTTATGATTCGTTGTCGATGGGTTTGTTTATTTGGGCACAAATCATGTAAAGTTATTGTAACCTGTCCCCACTATTTGATGTTACTGATCTTTCTTGGATTTTCTCTCACTTCTGTTTTGTGTGTATAGTCTTTCTTTCTGCTCACCTAACTTTCCCAAATCACATGATTCTTCAACGGTTTTAGTTAAATGGATGGTCTTTTGTCAAACAAAACTTATGCGTGTCACTTGGCAGGATTCGAACGTGACACACGCTAGCTCGTTCTTGAATCCTCAAGGAGAAGTTAACTACGAAACAATTCCAAAATGGCCATGGCTCGTCTTCTTATCTGGAGCAATGGGCTGCTTGATCTGCAGTTCCATGTCACACCTCTTCGCTTGCCACTCCAGAAAATTCAACCTCTTCTTCTGGCGCCTAGACTACGCCGGAATCTCCCTCATGATCGTCTGCTCCTTCTTCGCACCTATCTACTACGCATTCTCCTGCCACACGTACTGGCGTCTCTTCTACCTCTCCTCCATCTCAATCCTCGGTCTCCTAGCCATCATCACTCTCCTCTCTCCATCTCTCTCAGCTCCACGTTTCAGGTCTTTCAGAGCAGCTATATTCCTAACAATGGGATTCTCTGGTGTTTTACCAGCCTCACATGTGCTTTACCTTCACAAGGATCACCCAAACGTGCTTGTCGCTCTCGTTTACGAGCTAGCGATGGCTGTGTTGTACGCAACAGGAGCAGGGTTTTATGTTAGCCGCATACCTGAGAGATGGAAGCCCGGTGCTTTCGATATCGCTGGACATAGCCATCAGATATTCCATGTGTTTGTAGTCTTAGGAGCTCTTGCTCATAGTGTTGCCTCTCTTCTTATCATGGATTTTCGACGGGCTTCACCTTCTTGTGCCTTTTGAACCCGAATGCACATTGTAAAACGTTTTAGTGATATTTCATTCAATGTATCAATGTATGTGCACTGCCCCCCCTAGAAGAAGCGGATTCGCAATGTACTAGTACCCAAAATATTCAAAAGAACAAGTAACTTTCTCTTACAAGTATTGAGCTTTGGGACTTGTTCAAGCTTCTAGATTCCATAATCAAATTCATGATATGAAGATCTAATCTAGTTGACTCTGAAGTATTAAACAGAGCCTTATTATTATACTTGCTCTGTATATCTTGAAGGAGTCAAGGAACTTCTCTAATCAGTTGAATTATCGGAAAATGAAAGGGCAAGAAAGATACTGAGAGGAACAACAAGAAATGCAGCAATCTTCAACAGTTCCTCTGTTTCTTTGGAGATCGAACCTATTCTTGACCAATCACCACTATACCTGAAGAGATATTAACAACACTGTGATAAGCATGCATTATCTACTCTGCAATTTTGGCTTTTGCTTTTGAGCTTCTGAGGGTTAAGAAAACTTACCCAGCATCGATGAATCCCAAACCCAGAACAGCGATCGCTGATCGAGCAAGGATTGTGTTCGGGACTTTGATCTGCAGGACCGGTCGTTTTCCGTTTGATTTCTCCGGAAAGTCTCTCTTTTTGGAGACTACAGTGACTAATCCGGCGCCACTTTTCCTGAAGACATTACCAAAACTTCGGAGTATGCCGTTAGGAGAGGTAAAGCTATTGTTTTGTACTTGTAAGGTCAGCATTTCACTTTCCCAGAAATTCAAAGATTAGATTGAAGAGATTCTCAGGCTCGGTACATGGTGGTGATAAGGGCGATGTTGTTTTTGTGATAACAGTGCAGGTTTGAGGGTACTTAAGTAAATGGGCTTCCATTTCTGAAGCTTCTAATTTTCCCACCATAGTTTTGGGCACTAGAGAGTGGAGATTGCTCCTAAAACCCTAGAAACCTCTTGAGCCATGGAGATGCAGGATTCGTTCCAGGTTCATAGGATACCGCAATCGAAGTACGTAGACGGAGTTAGATGGCTCCCACAAGCTTCCGCTTTGAATCGTTTCTTCGCAGCAGCTTTCCATGACCCGGACTGTGAATCTTCGTCAATCGAGATCCAATCGCTTGACCCGAACCCTAGGGGGAATCCGAGTAATAACCCATCAGTAGATTCGTTATCTGCATGGACTTCACCTTCTCGCGTTTCGTCCCTGGAAGTCGCCGGAAGCAGCGGCGGAGGCGGCTCCTTCAAACCAATGGTTTCGGCAGCCACGTCTTCCGGTTCGCTCCACGTTTTGATGGCTGATCTGGTGGAAGGAGCTGCGATTGAGGAGGTTTACGCGGCGGAGGGAGAGAGGTTTCACGTGGGACGCGTGGAGGGTGTGGATTGGAGGGAGGCTGGAGAATGTGTGACGGTCGGTGATGATGGGAGAGTGAATGTAGTGACGGTTTCGAATGGTGAAGGGCTAAGATACAGAAGGGTCTTTGACGGGAACGGTCTGGTGGCTTATAGAGCCGTGAAATGGGCGTCTCCGACTGAGTTTGTCACTGGAGGATACGGTTTTGGTCTGCAATTGTGGGATCAGAGGAAGCCTGGTGAAGCTGTCTCGCAGCTCAAAGGAAACTGGTGAGTTCTTAATTCTCTTAAATGGTTTCATAACAACTGCTTCTGTTAGTTTGTAGGTTAATCTGGTTATGAATTCTTTGGCTTGTTTGCTCTTCAATGATATGGAACTTGAAAAGTTTGTTCATTTGGGTTATAACACACTCTTTATCAGTTGATTTTGTGAGCTTTGTAGCTGGTAAAGATGAGAATGGGAAAGGTGAATCCTTTGATTTAGACATACTGTGTCTCATTTGATAATAATATTGTAGGTTTCAAGGCAAAACTTCTGCAGTTGTACACTCCATTGACATTCATCCATCCAGAAAGCACACTTGCATTGTAAGTATTTGTTTCTGTATGAGGTTTGTGTTAGAAATCTGATGTAAGCTCATATCTTTTGAAGTTTGAACAGCGTCTTCATTATTTAGATCCTCAATCTTTTCCAAATTTCGGGGATTAGCCTTTGATAATTTTCCTTTCTCTTGTCCTCTTTACTTAAAAATGAATCATTTGGTTTTCGTGTTGGAATGTTAAACCACTTTGTCACATTACATACGAGTACCCTCTTGATACGTACTACGTAGTCCATCACAATTTTCTTGTATATATTCACAGTTTCACATACACACACAAACAGAAATTCGGTGTAGCTGTTAGTATTCACACAAGCTATACGCAAGATTTAATAACTTTATCTTGATGCGGTGTATATAGGCAGGAGGTTCTTCAGGTACTATTTTTGCTTGGGATCTTCGGTGGCCAAAGCAACCCATCGTTCTTTCTGGTGTTGGATCAAGTGAGAGTGTAAACAATCCTCTGTCTGAAAGTGAGGTATGGGAAGTTCAATATGATTCATACACAAAATCCAACATCTCATCCTCAAGGATTCTCCCTGTTATGACCTGCTCTGAAGATGGCATCCTTGGTATCATCGAGCAAGGTATTTAAGCCTTTCTACCACATTTTTTTCGTGTTTATTGTATGCTTTACCTAACTGATGTTTTTTTTTTGTATTTTTTTGTCCTGATTATTTTGCTCAGGGGAAGAACCGATCGAGCTTCTGGCTGAACCTTGTGCCATTAACAGTTTTGACATCGACAGACAAAATCCACAGGTGAAAACATCATCTAACTCTGTTTAAGCCTCCTCGTTTACTTGGACCAATCAACTGTGTTTTCTCAATCCGGTACATTGGATTCTGCAGGATGTGATATGTAGCTTAGAATGGGAATCAATAGCAGTCTTCTCAAGGCCTTAGCAAATAAAATCAGATCCCTGATATGGAACCGTGCACGGTAAAATATGTTTTTGGTTTGCTTCTCTGAGCCACACAACAAAGTAATGAGGAAGGTGGTGGACCTGGTGGTCATAGATGGTGAGAGACAAGTTTTAAAGACGAAAAATGTTGGAATAAACAAAATTGAATGTGTTATAGTTTCATTATAACAAGAAGTTCTCTTAAGTATACAATATGTATCTTAACACTTGAGTTAGCGCAATTCAAAGATTTTCGATAATCCTTCTCTATATCGCTGTATCAGTGTGTATATGTTTACAGACACAAATCTGACACGTGGCAAAAAAGAAGTCGGCCACCGTAGGACCCACCGGAGCTAATACTTGGCCCTGTAATGAGCCGTAGAATGTTGAAATCTCTCTTTTTGTTTTCTTTTTCATTTCTTTTAAGTGATTTAGAATTTTAACACAAGAAGTTTTCAAACCACAATCAAAGATGAGATGACATGCCCCACGCAAATTTAAAGGTCACATTAAGCTTTTAATCATTCAAGATTATTTCACCAAATACATTCCAGCTCTATTCTTTGAGATATTCCAGCATTTCATCATTATTTTACAGGATTAGTCACTGTTTTTGATACAGACCCTTTCTTTCAGTTTGTTTTTGTTTGTTTTTCTGTAGAATTCGAATTGCGAAATCATTATTATTTTTTTTAATGCTGAGAAAAGTTGAAGAACTTTGTCCTGTTTGTGATCTGAGATATTTTTGTAACCTGTCAACTTTTGATATTGATACGGAACCATTTTTGTCTGGCGTGGCTTAGTGAGTGATTACATTCCCTTTTTAGATAATTTCTTTCTTCGATTTTATTCATAATTCTGTGTATTTCATTCTATTCCCTTTGAAGTGTTTCCTCTGTTCAAAAGATTAATTTAGTCATCACTCTCATAGGATCTGCAAGTTCATCAATCAAAGTCTTCTTCTTCTACAACTTTCGTGGTACATTTAAGATTATTTCTTTCCTCATTAAGATTCTGCTGCTTATTTTGGAGAACCAAAACAAACTTTTTTTTGTAATTTATCCTTGTCTTGAACTTTTTTTATGGAATCATGAAAATATTTACAGAACATTGTGTATCTATAAATCTGTTATCTATGTGTGTGTTGCAGAATATGGTAGAACGAAGCCGCAGCTTCAAAATACCAGGAGCCGAGACAACTGATCTAAGAATCGCTCTTTATGAGCGCAAAGAAGTAGTTGAGAGGCTCCAAGAGGAGTTGAATGCAGAGAGAGAAGCATCTGCCACGTCAGCGAGCGAGGCAATGTCAATGATTCTTAGGCTGCAAGGAGAGAAAGCTGAGCTGGCAATGGAAGCTGGACAATACAAGAGAATGGTCGAAGAGGAAATGTCTCACGCTGAGATGTCGTTTGCGCTTTTGGAGGATTTTATTTACCAGAAAGAGATTGAAATCACTGCTCTTGAGTACCAAGTGGAAGCTTATAGAAGCCAGCTTTTGAGCTTGGGGTATAGTGACTTGAATAGCTTAGATGTTAAGCTTCAAGAAAATGACGATCAAGATGAGAATGTGTTGAAGATGAAGATGGATCATCTGTCACTGAGAGATAGATCTCAAACACCCTCTCCGGTTACTGATCTTTCGATTCCGGTGGAAAAGGAGGTTATTGAGGAGAGCTTGGATTCACAGAAGAGTTCCTTAGATGTGTACTGGGAGCAGATCAAGAAACTGGATGAGCAAGTCAAAGAGCTTACAGATTTTAGAGATTCGATGCAATACAATACTTCATTGTCTGAATCTGGATTAAACAAGGGAGAAGAAGATGTTGCAAGCTCATCAAAGTTTCAAGAAGATACAAAAAGAAACGAGAAAGCAAAGCGTTTGTGTAAAATTGATGACACTTTGGCGATAAAGGTTGCAAAGCTGACGAAGATGGAAAAGAAATCTCCTAAGCAGACAAAAGACAGAAGCGGCAAGAGAAACCGTGCAGAGTATCAAGCTGAGTTTCAGCGGTTGAGACAGAGGGTAGAACGGCTTGAGCGGGGAAAAACTAACACAGACCCTGAAAATAGTGGAGTGCTTAAGCAAGAAGAGATTAGTATACTGAAGGAAATGAAGGAGGGGATAAGTTCTGTGCAATCATCTGAAGTAAAGATGTTGAATACAATGGAGAACTTAATACAACCTTGGATTGATCCAGCCATTGTTTCTGTTCAAGAGGTATATGCATACTTATTTTTCATTGGTAAAAATTACTCAGTATTGTAAGTACTACTTACAAATATTTGACATGTCATTGAAACAGGCAATGCTTTACTTCTGGCTATGAGACAAAGAAAAGAAAGGTACAAGAAGATTTTTGTTTTAGTTTTGAGTGTTTGTCATTGTGTTATGTTTTTGTTTGCTTGAAGTCGAAATCTGCAACTCTATGTATAAAAAGCCTCACGAATTTTCTGTGTAGATTGTCTTTGTATAGGAATTACCAAAAACGTTTATCTTGTAAATTTTTTGTGTATAATTATCTATTGAAGAGAAATGCAAGGTATTGACAAGAACAAGTTAAGACTTATTGAGTGATAGACAATATGCATTGTTTTCTTCGTCCACAAGTTATCAAGACTAGAAATAGAGGTTAATTAGAAATGCAAGTAACCAATTATTGCGTTCTGTAAAGCTAGGGTATCAATTTAGAGAGGAACTACAGTCTACAGTCATTTTTTATTCCTATCTAATAGAAACCTAAGAACACATTACACCTTAAATACAAAAGACAATTTTAATGTATTGTAGATATTTTTATCCTTACACTTGTGAAGTATCAAGAATCAACTTTCAGCAAATCTACTCTCTGAAAGATTGAGACTTATTCGTAGACCTTTGCTCACTGATCAGATTGTACACGCATGCTTGAAAAGAAGCAGTAACTATAGACAAAGACATCAACCAAAAAAAATGAAAAACAAAAAAATCAGCCATTTATATACCCATTTGCTTCATCCACAACGACCATTTAATAGCCTCAAGAAATTCATCGTTCCTGCGCAAAGCTGTGACCAAATTGGTGTAAGTTACTTTATCAGGTGTTATCCCTTTTACCCTCATCTCTTTCACCAAACCAACAGCTTCTTCAACCATTCCGCCTATACCATACGCCTTTATCAGCGTGTTGTAGCTACACAAGTCAGGACCAAGTCCAGATTCTTTCAACTCTCTCAGCACATCCGTGACTTCGTCGATCCATCCTTGCTCTCCATAAATATTGATCATGATATTATAAGTATAATGATCCGTCTCACAAGTAGACTTCTTCATTCTATTCAAGATGCTTCTGAATTTCTCCATCTGTTTGTCTTTCCCATATGCATCCAACATAGAGTTATAAGCTTCAAGAGACACAGAAAACCCGTCGAACTGCATATTCCTAATAGCTGATGACATGTTTGTAAAGTCCTTGTTTTGTCCATAAGCGGCTATAATGGTGTTGTAAGATATCACATCCACAACTCCATGTCTTTTCGCCAACAAGAAAAGCTCGTTGACCTTTTTGAAGAGCTTGGCTTTGCCATAAACATCCAGGAGGATATTGAATGTGACTGTATTAGGAGTAAATCCACACCGAATCATTTCCTCAAAAGTTCTTGAGAGTTCATCGAGGGGAAGAGCACGTGCACAGCAGTTTATAACACAATTATACAACTCCTGATCCCAATGGATCCCGCTCTTTCGAATCCTGTAGTACAACTGCTGGAGTTTATCTTGAAGACCACACTTCTGATATATCCGAAGCATATCACGAAACAAGAACACATCCGGAACAATGTCTTTCTGCTTATCCATGATCTCTAGAACAGAACATGCTTCTTCCAAGGATCCGGCTTTCATGTACATACGCACCACGATGCTGAATCCAATCCTGTCCAACACAACTCCAGAAGATTTCAACTTTGAATAAAGCTTCTCCGCTTCACCAAACTCGCCCATCACAGTGTAAATGCCAATCATTGTGGATGTAATGTGCAGATTTATCTCTTCATCAGATTCCATCCTCTGGTTGTATATTTTCACAGCATCATTAAGCCGACCAGATTCTTTGCACGAGCAAATTAACAGATGATACAAGTGCGACTCAAATTCTGAGTCTCTCCACTTTTTCTCTCGCAACAACGCCAAGCAATCATCAACCATACCATGTTTAATATAGGCCATCACTAGAATCGAGAACGAAGTCTGGTTTAAACGGATATGGTTGTGAAAAGAACCTTTGAGAACATAAGGCACTTCATCAATCTTCCCAACCTTCTCATAAGCCTGCAGAATGATGCCAAGGATCGAAGAATATTGGCATCCAACATTTACCATATCTTCGATAGTCTTAATAGCACCGTCGTTGTCTCCATACTTAGCCTGCAAATTGATTAAAGTAAAAAGATTGGAAGAATTGGGTTTATATCCCAACCTCTTCAACTCTTGATAGTAACATTTTGCTTCCTTGTAATTATCAGCACGTCCCCAACCTTCGATCATCGACCTGTAACTTGTTTCATCTGGTTCCAGCCCAATGTCACAGAGACGGTTGAATAAGCTCTGCGCAGCCTCCATTTTAGAAACCTTACCATAACCAGTGATTATAGTGTTGTATGCAATAATATTCGGAGAAAAACCCGCTGCTTCCATAGAGATCAACACAGATTCAGCTTGTTCCATCTTGCCTTGCTGACTATAAGCATTAAGCACCACTAACCAATTCTCAAGATTCAGCCTCACTCTATCTTCTTTCATCAAGTGTATAACTTCCTCTGCTTTACCATATAGTCTCAGACGCGTGTAAAGCGTTATCATCGCGGAGTAAGCAGACTCACACACAATCCCGAACCTTCTCATATGAGTAAATGCGAATTCCGCTTCATCAACGTTCCGATTCTTCTGATAAAGACCCATGAGCATACCTATTGTAGCCACATTTGGTCGAACACCAAGCTCCAACATCAACTGAAACCATTTTGAGCCTAGTTTCACATTTCCCTTTTTAGAACACGCGTAAATGACTGTGTTGAAGACCTGAAAACTCTGCTGAAAGCCTTGAAACCCACACAACTCTTTGATCAAATCCTCGGCTCGATCCCATTCTTCTCTCCTTGCCAAAACTCTAAGAATCAAACTGTAAGCCACAATGTTACCTTCCAGTTTGCCTTTACATCTCATCCAATCAAAGAACTTGACGGCATTAGTGTCACTGCAACACTCAAGCCTTTTCAATATACCATTGTAATGCTCTAAACTCAAATCTGGCTTCATAGCGGAATAGTTGACATCCATTTCTCCATTGTTCACAAACAGACCCTCAAGCTCAAGCTCATTGCTTTCTCTTCTGAAACTCGACTTTCGAGTTACATCTTTCTTTATCCCTCTCTTATTACTGCTCGTGACATTATTTCCACCTTTTAATTTAGAACTCCAGCTTCTCCCCACACTAGCTTCACTTACAGAATCATCTTCGCTAGAACGATCAATGGCATTCTCGGCCTCGTTTGCTTCAGTATCGAGACGAGCGACTCGAGTTTTATTAACACTAATCGGAGAACCGATTGTGAAAGTTCTGGTGGCGGAAATACTACTGGTGACTGAAAAAATTGGAAATTGATCAGTAAACTGAAATGGGTTAGCGGAAAAATGAAACCTTTTCGAGTCGAATGGGTCCAATGGAGTGGACAATCTTAACGAAACCATGAAAGCTCGCTACCAAAACATCGGCATACGCCACGTGAAAGAGATTACAAAAGGTTCCAGTAACTCTGATGTTGAAGATTCAATCTTGACGATTTAAGGGGAACGATTCTATTTCATGAGAGAGAGATGATGATGAGAGGATAGAAAAAGAGCGTAGGCGCTGCAGCAAGATAAATCGGATAACCAAATCGGCTTCATATTGAACCATGGTTCAATTACGGTCGGACCAACTTATATTTTGAGAAAATAAATACACGGATAAAAAAAATTCAGTGTTGGAGAATAAAAATTGCAATCATGTGTTATCTAGGAAATATAATGTGGGCAGATTCCTGATAATAACCATTCATGCCAAACTTTTGTTTTCTTGATGATGTCTGTAAATTGATTCTTCTCAACTATACAAAAACATCACAAGAAAACAAAATTACTTCCATATTCAAAGCTAAACATCTCTTAAGAGATAAAATCTAAAATCTCTAGAGGAATTAAACCCAAATGCTTGCAAATGCTTCTTCCAAAGCCCTCTTCTTGCTTATATCTAAAGAAAATCCTCCAGCCCGTGGAGCTCTCTCTGCTTTGAGCCTCATAATCGCTTCGTCTTCCACAGTGTTACGTTGATGCTCTGCTCCTTTTCCTATAGGTTGAGGTTGTGGGCCCATTCCCGTTGGTCGTGGAGCTTGACCGTATGCAGTTCCAGCCGTAATCCCATGGTTTGACGACTACATTTACATGAACAATCAATAAAGGTTTCATCTTTGTCAGAATCTCCAGCTTCTAGCTGATATGTGAAAAAAAAACAAAACAAAATTCTATGTACCGTATCCGCAACGGTTTGTGCGGGCTGAGCCTTGCAGGCTGCCAAGGCTGCAGTTAATTCTTCAGCCTGTTGGACCAATTTGAGAATACACCAAAAAGCAAATTACAGAGTTAGGCTGAGATTGTAGAACAGATACAGCTTTTCTTGAGTTCTGATAAGTTTTAAAAGCCTCTTAAATCGGAAATGTAGATGACACTGAATTATACCCCCAGAAACCTTAACACACAGCCTCATAGCTCTGCTTATATTCCTCAATCCTCATTTCTTAACTTCAACAGATCATCCAAACAAGATTAGAAAAGTAAGAAGGAAAGTACCTTGCGAGCTCGATTAACCATTATCTGTTCAGCATTTTCTTGAGAGTATCTCTTTATTTTCTCCTCAATCGCCCCAACATTTATTCCATCGACCAAATCGAAAACTGAGGAAAGGAAGATATATACATTAGTCCTGTTACAAATAAAAACAGAATGTGAGGACAAGAAGTGAAACTCACCCATGCACTCCACTTCTTCCAAGTAGTCATTGTAGTCCTTAAGTGATGGAAAATCCTCTTCCCGTTTATTGTATCTGCATTTCCAAAAGAAAATAAAACATTTGATACTCAAAATGCTACTTCTATAGAAACAAACAGATTATTAGATGCTAGCACTATGATAGCCTATCTGCCATCCATTCTTTATCCCATCTTCTACGTATCCAAATTCTGGAAAACAATCCATATACATGTCTATGTGATTTGCTTGATAAAGTGCGTGTTATCACCAAAACCTTTTTATGTATGATTCTAATAAGACAATGCAGGAAGATTTTACACTACAAATGATAGCATTCCGTACTGATCAATGCAAGATAGATTCATGTAGGGGCTTGTATATCACCATATATGCACAGGCAAGCAAGATATGCGACAAGAGAAAAATGATTGGGACGAAGAATACATCTCAGAAATTCTCCTTCTGACATGTATTTCCTTGTTTTGATGGTTGGAATTAGATACCATCACCATGATTGCTGCTTCTTCGGCTTCTTGTCTTGTCCTCTAGCTAAGAAGTTCAAACATCAGTTCAGAAAATGGAGAAGGAAAAAAAAAATCATCGAGTAGTTCAGAATTAAGCATCAAAGCACTATAAATTTTCCAGATTGATGTGTAGCATATCGAAATCGATGCACAGAGAGATAGTTTCCGAACAAGCAAAATTTTTCCAGATTGATCCGTAAAATAGAACCTAAAGCTGAAGATTTCGAAATCCTATCGATTAACGCTATACATTCCACTAGTTGCGCGAGAACTACAGACTAGAGAGAAGAAAAATTAATAAAGAAGAAAGCGACATGTGAAGGATTCGAATGTCAAACAAAAAAAATCTCAAATTTGATCCAAAAGTCCAAAACTTCAATCAAAACGTCGTAGATCTCCTCGTTAAAAGAGGTATTTTGGAAATACCTAAAAAAATCCAAAGTAACAAATAAAATTGAAAGCTTTACCTTAGAAATCAATGCTTCCGACCAATTTATAAAATATTACAGAGATGACAAACCGACCAATCAGAGATGACCGTTTGATCACAGGAATGTATATGTGCAACTCCGACCGTATAATTCAGTTCCAGAGAGACTGGTGGTTTCTTCAGTTCGAACTTTCCCAAAGGGAATAAAGAAAGATACACGAAGGAGAAGAAGCTCCGAATGAATATTTTTAATTCAGAAACCTCTAAATTGTTTTAGATTTGGGCTCATGGGTCATGGGTAAAGTGAAGCCCACCGGTTTAATGTTATTTCTTTTAGACCCCTTATACAAGTCCAATTTCTATTTCTTACCCAGCTTATACTCCTTATCAGATTCATACACAATTTTCATTTTCTCATAACCAGTGTATTGTTGGCCTTGTGGAATATGAATTGGTAGAAACTTCATAGAATCCAAACATCAAAAGTTTCAAGCAAACAACCAACTAGAAGAAGAACCAATGAACAAAACACTTAAACACTCTTATTTATTCTCTCCTTCTCTTCTTCTTATACAATGACTGAAAGTTTCTGACTGAGAATCCCAAGTCCACATTTCATCAAACCAGGACTCATTACGATTCACTAACGAGCTCAGACATGTCGCGGCTGATGCTGTTCTCGGGTTTGGACAGTGGAGTTCCAGATATAAAAGCCTTGAAGAGTGCAAGAGCCTCCTTCGGTCTGTGCAAAGGAACTTCATGTCCTGCACCTCTCACAGTCACAAAGTTCAGACCAGCATACTGCTGAGTCCAGCCTCCCACCTATATCAATCATTCAATACAGTTAAAAAAAGCTTTCATAACATAAGAAGATAAAAGACTCTCACTTTCTAAGTTGAGTTTGTTTTTACCTGTCCATCTATGTACCAAGGACCATAAGTACTCAATGGACGAAGGTTTAGTGCATCTATGCTGTACCGGGTTGCTGTAACTGGTACAACAGCATCTGCGTCCCCACTGTTACCAAAGAACCAAACTTTTTCACCGTCAAAACGCCAAAAAAAAAACTTGAAGAAAAAAATTTCACTAAATGTAGAGAAAGAGACCTGAAAACCCAGATACGAAGTCCTGCAGCTATAAGCTCATGGTAAATGTTTAAAACCGAGGAAGGACTGTCATTCCAGTGCTCATTCACGACATTACTGCAAAACCAAAGCTTTCCGAATCAGAATTTGTCACAAAGCCTTAAGCTTTATACGCTCATTTCCCAACAAAACCGAGTTCTAAGATACCGTAAGGTGAAAGTGTGTTACCTGCAAGTATCCCATTTGGATGATGCAAGTCCTGGTGGGACATGGAGAGCTTCTTTAACCTCTGGAAGATTGAAATACACTTTGGAGTGTTTCTCCGTGCAAGGATCATACTGTTCACTCACACGGCTAGTCATCTAAGCAAAACAAATAATGACATTACGTTTAAAACCTGCTATCATCTCGAACAAAATTGAGAGAAGAATTTAAGGCCACTTACACGTCTTTTGTTTAGCAACATTTTTGACTGGGAAGCATTCGCAACACAGGCCGGGGTGAAGACACTGTATTGGTCTATGTTACCTATTTCCTTGTCTGCTGTCTCCAGAACCTTATTACAAGCTTCGGAGGAGTGAATAAACGATTCGAACCCACACTGAAGCTTCAGTAAGCTGTATGTTTGGTCGGAAATAAAACCCAACGACCAAATATATTGGAAAAGACCGAGCCTGTCATGGAAATCATCCATCAGCCCATTTCCTACCTGCAAAACACAAATTCATCAAAATCTTTATAGAGTTTTATAACTTTCAAGATAAGGGATCGATAAGAGAACATGCTCACCATGTAACCCTTCAGATTAATAGTGTTGTCGCCAGAAGCTTGGTTATGTTTTACAATAGCTTCACTCAGCTGAGGGATGTAATGCCCTGAAACAAGCCAGAGAAGACTTAAGAACAAAGTAAAAGGATTAAAAACTAAGATGAGCTTCGAAGTTTTTTTTACCTGCATAGCTCTCCCCAACTATATAAAATTCCCTTCCTTTGTACTCCGGATAACGCTCAACCCATTTCAGCAGAAACTTCAGTGAGTCTTGGGCTGTGCAAATCATAAAGCCGCAACAATAAACACCACCAACCAGCAAGAGTATCTAAAAGACAATGAGCTTAAGCAGCTAAAGTCATTACCAGTTCTCTTATCACCATTGCTGCGCAAATCAGATGAAGTGTTTGAGTATGAATAGCCAACTCCAACAGGTGCATCAAGGAACAAAATATTGGCAGCTGCAAAAGAAAAAGAATGCATAAAAGTTATAAGCTTTTTGAATCATAGCTCTCTCTCTCTCTCTCCCCAAACATAATCTGCACATCTAATTTCATTACCTTGATTCCAAGAATATTGATTAAGGTAAAGAGTCTTCCCATCTGCTTTAATATGAAATGGTCCTATCTCTTCTGCTTCACCAAACGCAACAGATGAACATCCTGGTCCTGTAGAGAGAGTTAAAAAAAACTCCATCTCAGACGCAGACTAATCAATACCAGATTGCTATGAAGATCAATTCGTTCTCTAAATAGTAAGAAATTGAAATCTTTTCGAAATCAAAAGGATTGTATAAATCCGAGAAACGAAATTCCCAAATTAGGAATCAAAACAACAAAGTGACATTCGTAGCTACAAGAATCAACATGAACACGATAATAAATCCATTGAGTAGAAAAAGGAGAGAGCTTTCGAATACAATAAACAAAATCGATAAATTTTAGGAATATTTTTAGGTTCGGTAACAAACCTCCATTGAGCCAGAGAACAAGAGGCTTAGACTCAGCATCTTCAGTTGCTTCGAAGAGCCAGTAGAAGAGTGCCCTTCCCAATTTCTCGTTAGTAGTAACGAACCCAGAGTAGTGAGCAAAGTCAACATTGAAATTCTGACCAGGCAATATCGAGACCTTGTCCTGTGCTTTCTGAGACAAGACAGCTTCACAGTTGCAGAATTGGGCAATCGCTAAAATAGCGATAGAGAAGAGAGCGTTGACGAAACAAGACCCTTTGGTTTCAGACATCGTTGTTGGTATGTTGACCCCAGAACACTAACTTCATAGTACAAAATGAAGATCCTTTGTGCATTTAAAGACTGAAGATTAGAAGCCATGTGGGTGATGACGTCACAAGCTAATCGAAGAATCCAAAAGAATCGGACTTTTTTTTGTTTATTTCACTCATCGTGCGTGCGTGGGTGGTCCTGACGAATTTGGCGTTGCTAAGGGCGTGTTTGGTTTAGCTATTTCAGTACGAAAGCTCGATTTCTATTGGATCCTAATTATTTGGTCAAACCCGTGATTCGATATTGTAAACTTCCAAACAATCTTAGGTTACAGTAATTACGGAGACCTTATCTGAATTCGTCATTAGAGTCTGTGTTTTTTGGTGTTGTCAATGGCTGATTTTGATGGATTTGTATAGCGTCATCGGATTAAACACGCAAACGCTGATAAACGCAGGCCTGCGTTTGGAGATGGTTGCGTGTGAGAGGCAGAAACTGAATGCAAGTGTGCAACAGAAGCAAGTGGCAAAATGGTTTCACTTTCACGTGTTTTAGCTTTTCGGCAATTGTGCCGTTTCCAAGCAACGTCACATTTCTCAACGAAATTATTGCTTTCTTAAAAAAGGAAAAAAATCTATTTACACTTAATATAATAAGATAAAATGAATTACCGATCTTACATACTTCATCCGTTTCATAATAAATGTCGTTTTATATTTCATTTTTTATTTTAAAAAGAGTGTTTTTTTACATTTTTAATATAACTTTTTACTCTTATTTCCTATTTTACCTCTCATTTAAAAATAATAGTCTTTGTAATTAAATGTTATAAAAATATATTAATTATGAATATATTTGTATATTTTATTAATTTCTTATGTGAAATGTGTCAAAATAACACTTAATATGAAAGGGAGGGAATATTTTTTTTAGTATAAACGACGAATCTTGTGTGTCATTTTTAAGCTATTTATCAGCTATTTCTTTAAGTGTCTTTCTAATTCGAGCTAGCTTTTTATCAAAATATCTAAAGCTTGAGGGAACCTACTTGATCGGAGCTAGCTTTTTTATCAAAATATCGCGTAAAATTGTGGTTGCACGTTCGTCACAATTCCACATCAATTTTTGTAAGATAGGGCCCGAATTATAGGATTTGTTTTTATCGTTTTTCTTTACAAAAATCATTTCTTAATTTTCAATAATGAATCATTAGAGTTTGGAGCAAAAAAATATTGTGCAGCCGGAACTAAACTGTAGATGTATGGGTTTTTTATTTCATTCACACCTCCTGTTATCTATAAGTAAAAACTATAACCACTAAAAGGAGTTATCTTGAAACTTGAATCACTTGGTCGTGTAAAGAAAGGTATATCATTCTCTTGAATCTCAAATTGAAACCCGATTAAGGACAGACCTGTAATCCAAGACTTTGATACACACATGACACTTGTAGCTAAAACAAATGAAATGGATCGAAAATCTGGTTTCTCTTGATGATAGAACATACTACTCTTTCAATGGATGGCACCATTTTACAAAAACTCTGAGCTTCTTCACATTCCAGTGAATGCTTTCTTTCCAATAGCAGAGCTTCCAGCTGGAATGACCTTCAGGACATTGAACCTCACCATCCTTGACAAAGGCCTGAATCAATAAATTTGATAAGTTTAGAAAGTTCAACAATAGATAGGCATTATAAACCGTAAATCCCCTGACAAGAACCAAAACCCCAAAATGGCTTAATTATCATATAGATATGTGGGCTTTAAGCCTGTAATAAATCCTTGTTTGGGCCTCAGTGAGAGCTTCCGGATTAGTACACGATACGAATTCATCTAAATTATTGGTTAAGGAAAATTGGAAAAACGAGGTGAAACTGAAAAACTTGAGGTCGACAATGCTTGGTTTAAGTCGATTGATAAAGTTCAATTCTCCCTAGCCGATTAATGATAATTTGGCTTTTAGTTTCTTTATCCACTTACACAATCAAGGCATTAAACCTTTATTCTTTTGTTAAAAGATTTGTTTGGCACTAAACTTAATCTGTACTGTTTTTTAATTATAAACCTCAAATCATTGATGAGCACTTAAACAAATCAAGAATGTTACGTACCTTATGTCATGACATGACATATAGCTAATAGCTAGGGACCAACATGATGGGAGCTTTTAAACTTACTTTACCATATCCATTACATTCAGCCACTCATTCGCACAACAATCACCCTCTCAAATGTTAGATAACGTGAAAAGATACTTAAGTTCGAAAACCATAAATAATCGAAAATTCGGAGAAAATAAGCAGAAATTTCATTTTTAACTGGACTGGAAAAGGTGATTCAAATAGTAATCTAACGTTTTTGGACACTAATTAAGTGAAACTGAGATTAAAAGATCGGTTTACTTCATGTTACTCATGTATATTGGCATGTATTGCAATTTACAAGTCCATAAAAGGCAAAACTTACCAATGATTAACATCAGAGTGCATATTTATAGGAAATGTAATTAAAACACAAATGTATTTATAAAAACAAAGTGAAGAGTTTGTGGAATCCATGTTATCCTACTATCATTTGTGTGGGGTTACGATGCTCTATCCGAATCCAAAGCTAAGTTGTCAAATACGAATCTCACGAGATTCTCTTTATGTCAACTTAAATCATATATTATGTTTGTTTCAGGTGGCAGCACATCTTGTTTTCGATTGTTCAGAAATTATAACTACATTTATATATACTAACTACCCTGAAATTTGGGGGTATACATTTACAATAGGTTGTACTTTTAAATTGGTATGATAAAAATTGGTATGATAAAACTATTTAATATGCTTGACTGTTGGCACTGTCTGGTTTTACACACAAGAAGAAATTCAATACTGTAAATGTTGAAATCGATTGCATATAAATATTGAATATTTGTTTTTGTAAGTAACTTTCATTATGTTTGTAAGTAACTTTATTTTAGTGGAGATGCAAATGTTATAAAATGACATTAGGAACTGTAAAGATGTTGTTACATCCGTTCTCCATCACACTTTTAAAACTAATTATTGTTACTTCATTGCACGATTTTGGGATTTTACTTTTTCAACTTCCAGAAAGCTGAGATCTAATAAGGTATCCAAACACTATTTCACTTGAAAAATGAGATTTTAAATAAACAAAACTTAATTATTAAATGTAATATGTAAAAATAAAAACAGTAGTACAGTCAACGTTTTTTAGACTTATAATTGAGTGTCAAAGAGTGTTTTGGACCTTTTTGGTGATGGCATATTGTGATATTGGGTCAGTGATTATGTTTCGAGACTAAAAACGAAACTAAAAACAGAAGCTATAATTCTTCTACGTATAGTAAGCTTTTATAGTAGTTGCTAGCTGTGTTTGTTTTATGTGTTTTTATATTCTTTACTGTCAGAAGGAAAAAATGATTTTCATGTTCTCCCCCTCCTAAATACATATGTTTTTATGTTCGTTAACAGACACATTAGAAGCAGTTAGCAATTACTTTGATAATCTTCTTTTGTTTATATAACGCGTAGAATTTTTAACTTCAATTAAACTTTCAACCAATTTTTGCCCACAGCTATACCAATTAAATAAATATCATGAAACGCATTTCGTATAGTTGTATGCTAATTCGTATCCATTCGATATATTATTATATGGTATAGGTCCCTCAGTCCCTGTTATATATATACATATAGCTTTTTGTTTATATCTAAGAATTATATACTATTTGCTATATACAGAAGAATACAAATTTTCAAAATTTCCCATGTGGAAGCTCAACCAGTCTGATGCTAAAGTACTAGGCTTTGGAATTATGTGAGCTGATACCCTTTTGTCCACAGCTATTCAACAGATGATTTTAATATCCAGAAAAATATCATATTAAGCAAAATGCAGTTATTTACATAAACTAAAACAAAGGGTCCAAATGAAAAACATATAACTAGAGAGAAAAAAATCAGTTTTTTTTTTCATCTCCTAATTTTTTTTTATATCATGCAACCAGTCACGGCCAAAAATGTGTAAAACACTGAAATATCATTTTCAAAAGATCATTTTCAATGTCAAGTTGTTTTGCATGCTTAATTTACTCATTTTTTCTTTCCAATAATAATGGACCGCCTATGGCCATTTTTGCGAGTACGTGGTCCAATATATTCACATCACATGCCAATCAAGCTGATCATATGAGATGCAATGCTAAATTTACTTTTTAGTGTACATAGATGTGATTCCACCAATTATACAAACATAAGCTTATCATATCATACGTAGATAATCAGATCAGATTTATGGCATGGCCAAAATGGTTCTTCACCGGAACATTTATGTTTGATTTCGAGGTTGCTATTAGTTCTAGACTTCTAGTAGCAAAATAAATAAAATCAAAATTATTGGTTCCATAAATTGCAAAGGTTTTGAACTGCTTGTCTTCGTATTTTTTTTTTTTTTGTTTTTGTTTTTGGTTTGTGGACGGAGTTTGTGTGTAATTTAAATACCATACTGAAGCACTGAATTGTTGGATTGATTATGGCCGAGATTCAATTTTTTTCATGAAAAACAAATAATTTTCTTTCATTAATGTTGTTATTTTGTGTGCTCTTTGATTTTTTTTTTTGTTTAGTTTATTTGCTTAGAGAAAAAACAACCAGATTTCGAGATTGCAATTCATGTTGATACTTTCAGCTCAACAGCACCATTTACATTTTTTTATATATATAATAGTAGACACCTCTTTATGCAAAATCGGTTTTTAATTTAACCAAACCAAATCGACTTGATTATAGTTTTTTTAAAATTTCTTAAAAACCAAAGAAAACCAAAATTAACCTTATATAAACCAAAATAAACGTTCAAAAGAAAAGAAATATTAATCGAAGCCAATGTAACACGTTTATTAGATTCTAAATTCGGTAGGGTTAATGGAATAAGGTCGATTTGAATTGATGATGTAGTAGATTTATGTATCAACAGCGTACAAAACTATTGGGGTGAAACCGAAATACTTAAGGAGTAACTGCGCCACGTGAAAATAAATTAAAGTTAAAATAAAAATAATTAGCTTTATCATTATAAAATTAAAAACAAAACAAGGCTTTATCTGTTCTCTCTTGTGCAGAGGGAGAAGGCGAAAGGGTTTTCTTCGACTGTGTGTTGCGTGAGAGAGTAAACTTACATGAGAAGCTTCTGCGTATATTTCCATTAATAAAAAAAAAAGTAGGAAGAAGAAGAAGAAGAAGCCTTTCGGGTTTCGTAGAAGATAAATGAGAATATTAATAGTTTAAGGAGAATTTTTAATTTTTTAGTGGGGAAAGGGGTTTTCGTGAAGAGAAGTTTGATCCTTTTGCGCCTGGGATAATTCCTCGGCTTTGACACTCGTCTCTTCACGCAATCGCGTTCGTTTGTCGTATCACGTCTTCTAGGGTTTGCTTACTTTTTTTTCCCCTTTTAATTGAAAAAAAAAGAAAGAGATTTGTTCTGTGTACGTAGGCGAAAGAGGTGGGATATTGATTTGGTTGAATAGAAGCGCTAGATTTGGTTGAATTGGAGGATAATTCGTGGTGGGTACTTGCAAAAGTGTTATCGATTTTGAGCTGACGCTGGATTCTGACTTTGTGTGTCTCCTGGTCATAATCAGGTCTTGATGCTTGGGTTTTAAGGTCTATACATCAAAAGCTCGGAGATTTGGCAATCTGAATTTTGGTCAAGGATCGTAGATTTCGAAAAGCCTTGTCCTTCTACAGATTCGTGGTTGGGATTTGTGTTGGAGAGGTTTTTAATTTGGCAGCCTTTGCCTAATTGATTTGGTAACTTGGGATTCTGCGGTGGAGGATTTTGGGTCTTTGGTGGGTACGATGAGCGCAAGCTTCACTGAGAGCTTCGCCGATGATGGCAAGCTTATGCTCTGTGTGGCTGAGAATGGCCACTCATTTCCATTTGAATGCAGCGAGACAACTTCAGTTGAATCTGTGATGCGTTTCGTTGAATCTGTGTCTGGTATTGGCTTCTCCGATCAGCTTCTTCTCTCCCTGGACATGAAACTTGAGCCGCAAAAGCTGCTTTCTGCGTTCGGGCTTCCTGCAAGTGATCGAGAAGTGTTTATTTTCAACAAGGCGATGCTGCAAAGCAACTCTCATCCGCCATCACCGGAAGATGTAGATTTACAAGAAGTTGATGATGCCTTACCACCGGCTTCATTGCATGATCCTCATCCATTGGACGATGCATCAGATCCGGCTTTAAAGGCTTTACCTATGTATGAGAGGCAATTTCGATACCATTTCCATAAAGGCCGCACCATCTACAACTGTACGGTTGTGAAGCATGAGAATTGCGAGAGGTTAACGAGAGAGCAAAAGGTTCAACAGCGAGCTGTTGAAGTTGCTACGAGGAATCTGGAACAGTATTACAGGGTGATCTATCAGAATTTTCTTGAGTTTATGAAGCGTTATAAGCATCAACACCGCCTCCACTCTGATTTGCTGATGAATTTTGGAAGGGATATTGAGAAATTGAGGTCAGCTAAGATTCACCCTTATCTGCAAACTGATTCCAGGAAATGCTTATTGGACTTTGTCAAGGAAGATAACCTCAAAAAGGCGGTGGAGAATTGTGCAAGCTCTCACAGGCAATTTGAGAACAAGATTGCACAGTTCCAGCAGCTGTTTGTCGAGGTCAAGCGCAAGGTGGAGGAGTTGTTTGCTTGCAGGGCTTCCTTATCGATGAAGAACTTAGAAGGGACTATTAAGGATCACGAACGCTTCATTAATGAGCAAAAGAGCATAATGCAATCTCTCAGGTTTGTCCATTTCTTCAACTAGGAACACCTTTCATTTGTCTCTGTTGGTAAATTTTATGTTGTTTAGTGGTCAATTCAAATGATGAATACCTGATGGTGTTGTGTGAATCTTGAAACAGCAAAGATGTCAATACGGTTAAGAAGCTCGTGGATGATTGCATGTCTAGCCAATTGTCCTCATCTCTCCGACCTCATGATGCTGTTTCAGCCCTGGGTCCTATGTACGAAGTGCATGACAAAAATCACCTTCCCAGGATGCAGGCTTGTTATAACTCCATTTCAGAATTGCTGGATTTCTGCAAGAACAAGAAGAATGAGATGAACAGTTTTGTACACAGTTACATGCAAAAGATAACATACGTTACATATATCATCAAAGATGCTAAGTTACAGTTTCCTGTTTTCAGAGAGGCAATGTTGCGTCAGGATGACTTATTTGCAGACCTGAAGTTAGTCCGTGGTGTTGGCCCCGGTTATAGGGCCTGCCTCGCAGAGGTGGTGAGAAGAAAAGCCTCTATGAAGCTTTACATGGGCATGGCTGGGCAATTGGCAGAGAAGCTTGCGATGAAGAGGGAAACAGAGGTCAGGAGACGTGAGGAGTTTCTTAAAACACATGGTCCCTTTGTACCTCGTGACGTGTTGTCCTCAATGGGTTTATATGACACTCCCACTCAGTGTGATGTCAATGTCGCTCCTTATGATACTAGTTTGATCAATATTGAAATCGCAGACGTTGATCGGTATGCTCCCGAGTATCTAGTTGGGTTACATTCAAAGGTCACATCCTCAAGGAGTTCACTGGGCATGTCTAGTGATAGTTCGCTTTCCGCTGAGACTGAGGAGATAGTTGTAGACTCTTTAGACAAAGACAGCTTTGATGATATCCTAGCGGCCTCTGAATTAATTGAGATAGCTGGAACCAGCAAGATGGAAGTTGAGAATGCAAAACTAAAAGCTGACCTTGCTTCTGCAATCTCTCGGATTTGTTCATTAGGCCCACAAGTTGAATATGATGTGCTGGATGAAAGTGAAGTAGAAAATTTGTTGAAAAATGCCGAAGAGAAGACAACAGAGGCACTGCAAGCCAAGGATGAGTATGAGAAACATCTCCTATCTATGCTCAAGGAAAAACAAAGGCATTGTGATTCATATGAGAAGCGCATCCGTGAATTGGAACAGCGTCTCACCGATGAGTATCTACACGGACAGAGACATGTTAATAATAAGGATGCGTCTGGCTCAAACCTGATGCATGAAAAAGTTACTGAGTACAAAGGAGAAGCTTCAGGTGACGTGGAAGGCAACAAAACTCATGTATCTGGTTCGGAGCCCATGGATGAGGTCTCTTGTGTTTCAATTCTTTCTAGCAAGCAGCCATGTAAAGCTCGCGAAGGTATGGATGAGAATATGGTGGATTCCTCTCTGGTGCTCAGTCATCCGCTTGATTCGTCGATGCTGGAAAGCCAGCAAAACAATGAGAAAGGTGGAAAGGATAATGTGGTAGGCGATATGGGTGTGTTTCTAAGTAACAGTTCGTCAGCCGAGAGCCCACCAAAATCTTTAGATAATAATGTGGCAACTGGCGTAGGTTTAGATACCAAACACAGTGATACTATTATATTGGAACTTAGAAATGAGCTGATGGAGAAGTCCAATAAACTGAGTGAAACAGAGTCCAAGCTAAATGGTGCTATGGAAGAGGTAGCCAGTCTGAGCAGAGAGTTGGAAATGAATCAGAAGCTTCTCGAAGAATCCCAGGTTCAGCAGCTAATTCATATATTTTTGGTTTTATTTCTTTAATCTTTCCAACTCTGATATTTATTCATTGCATTGTTAGTTTAGGAGCTAGTCTTTACTTTGTGGGATGTTATATTTTCACTAGTTTCTGTCACTCTTCTGGTTGCTGGTATTAGCTTTGTCCTAGACGTCAAATTTTTTAGTATCCAAGGTAATAGTATCAGGTCTATTTCTGTGATCTTTTACGGGTGCGGTTCAATATGCTTTTGAGTAATGCCTATATTAGTTGAAGCCAACGAGGTTCCACTTTTGAGTTGCTTATACAATCTGCAAAAGGGCTGTGAACAGTTTTGATGTTTGTGATTTGGCAGAAATTTCACCTAGAGAGATTTAGAGACACAATAGGAATGGTTCTACTATTTCTTCGTCAACAGATAACTTATGTACATTGCACATTATAGGAGCTTTTTCCCTCTAAGTTTTTCCTTCTGTTGGTGGTAAGTATTGCTATCTTGGTTATAGATGAACTGTGCGCATTTGGAGAACTGCTTACATGAAGCAAGAGAAGAAGCCCAGACCCATCTTTGTGCTGCTGATCGTAGAGCTTCTGAGTACAATGCACTTCGTGCATCAGCTGTGAAGATGCGAGGTCTCTTTGAAAGATTCCGGAGCTCTGTCTGTGCTGGTGGTGGGGTTGCTGGTTTTGCTGATTCCTTGCGTACTTTGGCTCAAGCTTTAACCAAGTAAGTTCCTGTCTGTACGGTTGTTTCCAAAATAATAAGCGTAGTCCTTCCTCTCTTGTTTATATGGCGGTATTATCCACTTTTTTTTTCAAGCTCTTGTTTCTGACATTTTTTTTCTTTCCGGATTTGCATCTCTCCTTGTTGGGAAATTCACAGCTCCATTAATGACAATGAAGATGATGGCACTGTTGAGTTCCGGAAATGCATCCGAGTCCTGGCAGACAAAGTTGGCTTCCTCTCCAAACACCGGGAGGAATTACTTGAGAAGTGCCGAAATCTTGAAGCTACAAGTGAACAGACAAGAAAGGACTTGGAGGAGAAGAAAGAACTGGTGAAAACGTTGTATACTAAGCACCAACTTGGGAAGCAGGTACACTCCTGTTATCTCCAGTAACAGTCATTGTTCTTGCAGCAAATGCGTTTGTTGTTTCATTGTGGGACTGCATCCCAAACTTTATCCTCGTTTTTACTGACATATAAATTTGTGAATTTTTTTGTGGACAGGCGAATAAGGAAAAGATATCATTTGGCCGTCTTGAAGTTCATGAGATAGCAGCATTTGTGCTAAACCAAGCAGGTCATTACGAGGCAATTAACAGGAACTGCCCAAATTACTACTTGTCATCTGAATCCGAGGCATTGTTCACAGATCACCTCCCAAACCGGCCTACATACATTGTGGGACAGATTGTCCACATCGAGCGCCAAGCAGTGAAGCAACCATCACCACTTTCAGCTTCTGCATCTCCCGACGCGGGTAAGACAGATTATCTCGGCTCAGAGCAGGGCTCAAGAACTCTGGCATCAAGCTCAGTGTCAACATCATCTTCAGGAACAACAACGACAAACCCTTATGGTCTCTCTACAGGATGTGAATACTTCATAGTGACAATAGCAATGCTTCCTGACACTGCTATTCATCAACAAGCTTCCTGACACTGCTATTCATCAACAAGCTTCCTGATCCTTTTGCTTGTTCTCAAGCCAAATAGAGGTGAGGGAAGAAACCCCCCCCCCCCCCCCCCCTCCCCAAGAAAAAAGAAGAAAAA